TCAAATTGGATAGAACAGCTCTACTACCAAGTTAGCACCAATAAAATAAAACATCTGCCTATTTTGAATGTTTGGCTATTGAATTGAGTCAYGTCTCTAATATATTCATTCACACACCAATATAAGAATAAAAATTTTATTCCCTTTTTACTTGATGTGAGGCATGGAAAAGCTAAATAGTCTGCCCAAGGTCACAGAGAAAGTCTCTGCACTTCCCTCCCTGTATCTCACAATACCTGAAATGGAACTGTGCTGGAGACAGCAGCATCCCTTCTATTCCTCCTACTCTCTGTCACTGGGACACTCAGTTCTCTGGAGGGATTGAAACTTAGCTCAAAACTTGGCTCGATGCAAGGACATGTGGGTGCTATGTGGCTGTAATCTCTGAGTCAGATACATGAGCTAATCATGCCTTTTGCCCTTGCACTCTCTGAACTATGAGCTCAGGACACAATCAGCACAGCATCACATCCTGACTGCCCAGTGCTGGCCTTTGATTGCTCACAACTTGAAACAATAGCAATTAAAAATATGTATTTACAGAAAATCAATGCTTTCCCTACTACATGCAAGGCTTAAATAAGACACATTTGCCTTTGCCTACATGAACAAATAATCTCGGTTGCACTTTTACATTTATGAACAATCTTCTGAGATGACTGACAAAAGAGGTAACTGACATATAATGTGAATCTTTRTGCTGTTATCCATTCCAAGACGTGCAGCTGAATAAAATTCTGCTCAGTCAGACATAAAATCAAATTAGAGGAGTTCGCTCTGAAGAGAAAGAACTAAATTTGAAACAAATAAAGCAGTGCATAATTCACTTTTAATGGCATAAGTTCCTAAAACCACACTAATCATAATCCTAACAAGGTAATACTTTGCACTGAGAGTTTATCACATCACTGCTCAGCACACAGCAGAGCAGTAGAGCTTCAGTCATGTGAGGGATTTGCCCCACATGCAAAGTGAGCAAATGTATTTTTGCAGTCAGGATTTGCAGAGCACTACTGTTTATTAATAATTATACCTYATGGCCTTACAACACGTGTCATTCATCCCACACACGTTCAGAAAGACCTTCACCCATCAGAGGGATATCCCAGATAACCATATTTCTCCACAAATCCCTGCAATATTACTCAACAATTTAGGAAAGAACCAAAGAAATGCTCTATGTTGACTGCACAAATTCAAAAGGAAGGTAATGACTCAGACATAAAARCTGGCTATCCCTGAAGTAACATTTCCTATGTTTGGAAAAAATGCCATTGGATTTTTATTGAACATAAGTATTCAAGACCTTGAGTTGGGATCTGATTTTTAAGACAGCATTTTTCATCAGCACAGCAGCTCACAACTGCAAGAATGCCTGAATTAAAAGAGAAAGTATGACCACCTGCTTTGCAGCTACTTTTCAAAGTAGCATCTCAGGATGTCCATACTTATTTGGTATATGAGAGCTGATAYCTTATAACCCAAGATGCTGTGAATACAGGCACAAATAAATCAGAAACAAGACTAGTAATTTTTCTAACATAGGAAATCTTTTCAGACCTTTATTAAAATGTTCAACTCTGAAAAGCTGTTCTAGCAAAACCCAATATTCAGCATGTTGCATATTCACTATCTCTCAGCATATGTCTGATCCAGAAAATGTGCCCTGATGACCGGTTAAAAGATATTTTTGTATGAGATTTTAGAGTCAAGCTGGGTTTTTCCTGTACTGTCAGCAATCTAAATTTTCTGACTGAAACATAACGAATCATTTTTTTAATCACATAGCATGGATTGTAGCTTGCTTCTACAGCTGCCTCAGTTTTAAAGAAATGACAGGTTAGAAACAATGAAAAAGCTAATAAAAAGGATGTGATCAAATGCACATCRGGAGCAGATAAAGTAAGCAGATGCTTTTCTACACGAATCTATATACTGAGATCCTTCCTTGCTTAGCAAAAATTTCCATTTATATATCCAGCTGAAACCTTGTTCCATGCACTTTTATTTAAAAGACCATTTACCAAAAAGTAAAATAAGAAGAGAGAGCTACAGTGCATGCCATACAAATGGAATTATTTTTCCCTTATAAAAACATTATGGCTCTGCATGAGTATGCAGCAAGGTGAACACCCTACAAATCAAACTGCAGGTTGCTGACACGGGGCTCAACCATTTCCTCACAAGGGTTATTTCTAAACTCCAAAGGTGTTTTTAATACTCAGTATTCAATACACAAGGTTTTTTGTACTCTTTTTTTATTAAGACACTTTGATGGGAGGAAATTTATGCTACATAATATGCACATTAGACACAGATACTCACAAGATTCACCTTAAACAAATACCCTATTTGCTAGCATGATGGCCACACACACATGAAAAAGAGTTATGTATGGTAAGCAAGAGATTAAGATCATTTTAAAGCTGATACACCCAATGGCTATGCCCTTATTACAGGASAAGATGTGACTGCAGATGACTGGCAGTGAGGAAGAGTGACTTATGCAAGCAAACATAACATGGGGACATAACATTCCCTGACCTAAAAAGTTTTTATCCCTCAGTTCTGAAGTCTCCAACTCTGAATATGGGGGATGTTCTGCCAGGTAGGCACAGGACAAGTCATCAGCAATTCCCCCACTCCTGCAAATGAGCAGGGACTGAACTGAGTTGAGACAACTTCCAGGAGAGACCCATAATGAAAAGATGCTGAATGCCTTTAAGCATGAGGGGTTTAGCAGGTTCACTCTTTGTAAAAAAAAGGGGTTTTTGTTTTTTGTTTAAATTTAAAAAAAAACAAAAAACAAAAAACAAACAACAAAAAAAAAAAAAAAAAAACAACCAAAAAACCAGAAAGAACTCACTCAACAAATTACCTTGAGGGGACAAAATTTAAAATTCCTACAATTGGAGTTAAATTGCTGCTGTTTCCCATGATTCCAAAGTTCACTCAGGATCAAACCCTATACTATCTTTCAAATACTATACTTCAAATACACTTCAATTCTTTCAAACTGCCCAGAAGGTGGTCTAGTGAAGCCACCCCCCTGGTGTGTGAAACTCAGCTCCCTCCAGAAATCTGATGTTACTGCTCTGGTAATTTCCTTCTGCTGCAGGTGCTCCTCAGGCTCACTCCTTCACCACAGCAGTTTGGAATTTGATAAAATCAGTTTAGTAAGTTATTAATGAGGGTTTTGTTTYGGTGAATATGAGGCTATAATTTTACAAAACAGATACTATTATCATACCAAGGAAAACCAGTCTAAAGAGTAAAAAAATGCCTTTTACCAGGTTATCCAGACACTCAGCAGAAGCAGCTCTGATAGCAGACCTGATTTGTGAGCACTGTGCCAGGGAACTGTCCAGTAGCACATAGAGCCCTTCAAGGAAATGAGCTGGGGCTGTCCTCCATCTCTGGTTACCTCCTTCTACCTACACCCTGCTATGAAAGAGCCCTATTTCAGTCATTGTGGAGGACTCAAAACACTGTGGAAAAACAGAAAAGAGCTCAGAAATGTTGATGTTAAATCCCTGAACACAATGTGGAGCACRATATTTTTGGCCTTTGCTATTACTTCTCCGAGGGAAACCTTCATTTCAGCATTGTTACACAGGAAATTGGTGCCTGAATTAAGGACACAAAGGAATTCATTAGCAATTCTAGCTGCAATAATTAGATTTTATATAGCCAAACTCTGTCTTAAATCTAGAAAAATAATGAAAAAAACAACAGATTTGCCATAGAAGGACCATTGCAGAGACAGAAAGATTGTACCTATGGCTAGTACAGGCTAGTAGGCTAGTAGGCTCAAACAAACACCTATTATTTCCAAGATTTTCTTGGGCAGGCAACTTAATACCTCTATATCTCAGTTTTTCAGCTGAAAATAAGGATAATAACAAAATGGGAGCATACTAAGGAWAAGGCAAGAGACTATGTAAAATCTAACAAAATTGGGTTTGTGCATGGGTAAAGCACAGTAAATTTGAAGCTATTTTTGCTACATTTTAAGCTAACAATTTCACTGACAGCATTTCACTKCTATGCAACAAAGATCACATTTTTCCAAGCAGATGAATAATACACCATATATTACATTCAAATGAAATTTCAGATCAGTTTTTCTMTGAAACAATAAATAGAGACAAACCCTGCCTTGATAAGATCTGCTGAGCTTCTTCTCAAGACAGAGGGTGAGAGAGGTCACATTCTACTCTACATATGATACCCAACATAGGCATCAAGACTATGAGAATATTTAAGATGCTAAAATCATCCACCACCTAGAGCTAGTAATCTCCAGTTATCCTTACAGTCACCAGAGAGAGCAAATTTACACCTCTAGTTAAAGCCCAAAGAGTCTTTCTCTTATATTTGATAGCAACATTTGCACTACAGGAATACAGTCTGTCCTCCATTCTACAACATAAATCTTACTGTTATCACCGGGGTTAAGGGACATCTGATACAGTTAAAAAAAGATAAGCTATCACAAAAAAAAAAAAAAAAAAAATTGCAAAATTCAGCACAGAAACCTTGAAATCAAACATGCCCCAGACAGCAGCCTATCTAAATCAGAGACACTGTAGTATTCCTTCTGCCAAAAGCCAAGCTAAGCACAAATGGAATCAAACAAGAATTTTCCTTCATGCTCTGATCATAACAGACCTGTTTCAAATGACAAAGAAAAGCCTTTCAGAAATTCTAAGACTGACTTGAAGACTAATCTACRACATGACTAAACCAAAGCCAACTTTTAATTGTATTTGCCAGAGCTGACCAGRTATCAGTAATCAGAATGTAAAAATCAACTAATCTGATGCTGTTTGTTCTCTTTCAGTGAGTCAGTGCTGCCATCTAAAGCTATCTAAAGGGCATGCAAAAGAAATTCAAAGTCATGCATCTAATAACATTCAGGAARCACATGAAAGTAGACAGAGAATGCAGGGTAAATCGAACATATAATAAGATGCAACAAAATAATRATGCTGCAGTACCTGAAGGAGAAATTCTTTCTCTATCACTTCACCTGTCTTGGTGATAAGCCTCTTCTGTAGTCTATGTACTTTCAGAATCAGCTCATAGGTAGTGGGGTCGCTGGCCTAGGAAAGAGCAAAAAAGTCTCAAAAATTATATATGATGACAAATTACTTTTTCATGTTTTCAAATGAAAACCATAATATATACACATCCAAAAGTAACAAGTATAAAAGGGGGGCTGGGGGAGGACGCATTCAGGTTTTTTTCAGATTGCATGTATACAAGCTGTCCTGAAACTTAGTGCATCAGTTTTAGCAGCAAATGGAATTGCCCACTGGCAAATGAAGAGCAGTGCAAGTACTTCSTGCTGTTTAAGGACTTCAAACAGTGCCATCTTAGTTTCTAAGGAGAGGAAGATTTTTCTATGGAACAAGAGAAAGACTAACTGCAATTAAGTCTTGAAAGGTGGAGAATTTAGGAGGAACAAATTTGGGGGGTACACTGATGAATTATTATGAGGTTCTAAAGTGTCCATACATGTGAAATCTCATTCTTCAATGGAATTAAATGCTTTAAATGGTGACAGAGTGTATGCACTATACTCTTGCCCTCTACCTACATAGCCTGTAAGACCAGGAGCTAGTAGATGTCTGTCTCTCCATCCCTTCCTTTTCATTCTTTTGGCATAGATTGAATCTGGAGAAAGCTCTAAGGAGCAAAGAAATAATTCTGTGAGGAGCAGCCAGCAAAGCTTACTTTCCCTTACTTTGTTTCTACTTGCTGGATCTTTTAATGAAGGGCAAACTCTGACTGAAGCTTTTCCTCATTCAGGGACTCACAACACCTCTCTCCCATCTGGTTTTTCCTCTCTCACTTGGTGTCTCATTAGGATTTAAATCACACTGCACTAACGGCTCCAATAAAGTCCTGCTTTCTTATATTTGCTTGAGCTTATAAGGAACTCGGTATCTCATTGCTCTTAATCTTTTATCTGGTTTTATCTAAATTGACTAATCAATTCAAGCATAACTAGGACACTAGCACAGATACACACGCAGCGCTTACAACACATCATTTCCTGAGAAAACAGGCTAAAAAGTAGACCAGTCCCCATGATCTCAGTCCTTGATATTTTTATATCCCTGTTCAAGCATGGTGCCAGTTTGTGACAACTCTAGTGATATGAGAGTGTTTGTTCATTAGGAACTGAACCAAAACCCCATCAGGATTATTTCACATGGATCTTGCCATCTGCTGGCCTTTCTGTGTTCCAAATACAAACCAGTAACCTAGAATGGAAAGACATTATTTCCCATTATTAGTCTCTTCATACATTCATTTTCCCATTACTGGATGTTTTGACTGGCCTGATTTTTCTTTGTTACAAAGTGCTGTTAGAGATTGTACCTAGATGTATTTAACCTAGTTCAGCATCCTGCATTATATCTCCCTTCCATAAGAAAAGCCAATCACACCATTCAACTTTAAGCTGAGTATGGAAAGATCAAAAATTCCCTATCATGATAGTAAGCACAGTCAAAATATTCAGCTCTGCTTCTGCAGGGACTGAGCACATTATCACTCGTTATTAGAGCAGCTAAGCAACCCAAGCTGGCATCAGATCAGAGATCCATGTGACAGAGGAATCTCAGATGGCACTGACATACATCAAAAATATCCAGTGATGCCAACTGATGTTCATATATTTGGTCTATGCTTGATGGATTTTTTATTTTTCCCCTTCACTTGGCAGGTTCAAATCGTGTGAAAACTTGGATTTGCTGTTTATGTAAAGCAGTTGAACTCACATTACCTGGAATGACTATTTTTGGGAGTCCACTACTGTTTATGTGGAGGATTCTTCTTTTTTTCTCAGATGTAATTTACCTTTTGACTTCATATCTGTTCATTCTTCAGTCTTCCTATTCTATGAGTCTTTCAAATATTGGCTTTTTCCCCATACACATCACCCTAATTGGTGAGGGTAGGACAGTATCTTCCCCCTATCATCCTATTTCTCACCATCCATGTTAAGGAATCACCTCCCTTCTAAATTCACCTGATGTATTCTTATTCCCTTTAGCACTTGACTGTCTCTTTACAAATCTCCCTGCAATTTTTCCCAAGAAAGTGACACAAAAATAACACTGATTGCATTGTGCAAGGAAAGCATTCAGCAGGTAAGGATTCCATTGGTACTATGGAAATTTCAGTCTGCCAGTCCCTCCACATCATTTGCATWACAGTAAACGAAATAGGCTTTGTGCTGGGTCACTGATTTGGTAATAGGGGCTTTGGGAACACAAAATGCTCACACATCACCTCTAATTTTCTCCATCTGTGAACTTGCAAGGGCCTCTGCAGTTCTTCTTCCAAAAGTTTGCACCGAGTTTGTTCCTTTAACAGTTCTTTCTGCATGTAATTAAACTCCCACCTGAAGACCAGCATAAAAGGAAAAAAAACATACCAAAAACACTTCAGTGTGACCAAGGCACTAATGTGGACACTAACAAATCATTCTCCCATGCATTATGGTGCACAGGAAGCCCTACATCGACAGCACAAGGAGTCACTTTGCCACTTCAGCAATACTATGGGGGCAAAATATATCAACATTGATACCACTAAACAGGTGGAACCATAACACACTTGGATCTCTTTATTTGCTTCGTCAAGAATGGCTCAGAAAAGGGATTCCTGGGGAATTTACTCCACAGACTACTGCMTCTCACTCTTCACATCTTCCCTTAYACATTAAGGCCAGAAGGATGTTAGTTCATCWACCTACAAATCAGTTATGGGTCACAGCCAGTTACCCCTGTGTTGAATCTAACAGCTTGTGTTTAAAAGGTTTTAAATCTACATGGCTCATGCAATCCATTAAATAAAACACATTCTAGGGCCTAAGTATGATGGACACCATTCCTTATAGAACTGAAGTTCGATTTCTTTCATTACATCTCCTCAAGGAATTTCAGGGATGAATTGTTGCTGAATCTGAAATTAATTGAGYCCTACCAAGATTCTCTGACAACTAGGGTTTTATGGTGGGGATAGGGGATTGATGGGCAGGGAAAAAGGGCACACTTTGCAATGGTCTGACCCTTATCACTTCAGTGATTGTATCTTCTAAATTCTCCAAGGTCAAAAGGGGGTGGAGGATTGTGATGCACCTCCTCCACCACTGAATCTTTTTCTACTAAGCTCAGAGTTGCAATTAGCTCACTAGAGAGAAAAAGGCCTTTTTTAAACTGTGAGGTTGGACAAGGTTATGGAAGAAGGAAAAAACCTCACATTTCCAATTGGCAAATCGGGAAAGCTAATTAGCAGCACAAGTGATAAATGGAGTTTTTTCGACAGGCAGTTTTCATGATGGTTTTGGACTTCATTAAAGTATGAGATTGCTGCTGCAGTTAGCAAGAATTGATCCACCCATCATGGCATGCAGCACACTACACTTCAATACTGTCACTGAGTTTCAATACAGTAACAGACTTTCAGCTGAATGCATTTGGGCAGCAAGTTCAAATCCTATTCCTATTTGCAGTCAGTCGATGAAAACTGCAATTGCTAATGTTGTGTGCCCACTTCTTTCTGTTTCACCAAATCAAACTGGCATAATTCCACTGGAGTCAATGGGACTGGCCATGGACTGAAGTTAATTTGTTCTGCTGAAAGCCTTGGAATTATACTGGTAAACTAAAGTTCTCACCCAAAACTGTGGTAGCTACACAGAATTGGTACARTGGTAATCTGCTAAAAACATAACTGCCTCTCTTTATAAACCAAGACTGATTCTTGGTAGTTACATTTTCTTGGTAGAAAATGACCACAGTTTCCCATCAGGAAAGAATACTCCTCAAATACAGGAGGAGTAAACAAGAAAGGAAGCATTAAGCCAGAGAAGGAGAAGATAAATCAGGCTTAGGCTATTAAACTGCTGTTTTAGAGAAACACAACCTTCAATGAAAATTTAACTAAATCTTTCTTGGAGAGCATGTCTGCATATAAATCTGGAAGGAGAGAGGTCTGAAAAAGGGGTTTGTTATAAATATGTCAAGTGTCTCCCATACTCTGTGGATTGCTTAACAAAAAAAGAGTTCCATTAATGTAGGCCTTGTACCACTGTATCACTAAGAAGMTCACTGGACTATGAACACTTTTTCTGCTGCTGTCAGGTTTATTCTRTAGGCAGTAACTCACAGAACAAGGGGAAATTTGGAAACTATTTCAACTTTGGCCATGACATCTTCTTTCCTCCTTACTATATTTTAATTTTCCTAATAGCTGCAAAGTTGTTTCACAAATTTAATCTGTTTTTGAGGTCAAACCAAACAAACCCCTTCTCCAAGGTATAATGCTTGGTGATGTAAGTCTTTACCCTGTATAAACCACATTTTCTGTCTCAAATAAAAAATCATGGCTGCAGCCACTATGGAAATGTATTCCATCAGATTTCCTACCTGAGCTCATCCACCTTAGCCACACTCTTGCCAAGTATTCCCTTCTCACGCCGAAGCTTTTTGATCTCCAGCTTGAGAATCCGCATGTCTTCCATTCTCTGCCTGAACTCAGTTTCCCCCCTGTTTAAGATGGCCTGCTGGATTTTTATCTTCTCRTAGAGCAGAGCCACTTCATCATTGCGCCGAATAAGCTGGGTCCCCAGGGCGTGTCTATCACAGAGCAGCTGTGGCCACAGGGCAAAGCAATAAACTCAGTTACAGTTCCTTCACACAATCCCAAAGTATCATGACTATACTTTTATCAGCGAAAATCACGTGCATTAAGAGGTTTCACTGTTATTAATTGAAGAAATATAGCAAGAACCTAGTAATTTCTCCTATAAGGGTTCAAGCACCTGAATAGTACAAACTACAAATTTTGTTCACTTCAGTATCTTAATATTTTTGTTTTAATGGCACTATAAAGCTTTAGTAGTCTCACATTCACAGTACCTAAGAATCTTCAYCTTAAAAATACACTGGACAAATGAGGGAAAAGAATACAGGACATTTGAAAACTCAAATTAGAGATTCCYACCTTGTCAAATTCCTTCTTCTGCCTCACTCTCTCTGCATCAGCATCAGCAATGATTTTTAGGAGTTTTTTCTCTTCTGCCTCCTGATTTTCTATATAGGCTTTGGTTTCCTGAGCTTGTTTTGTCATCTTACACAGTTCAGCCTGATGGAATAAAGAATAAGGTGAACTGTTAACTAGTAACTTCCCCTTACATAAATCTACAACTAAGAGTTAGTTAAAAATATCTCATACATTCTTTTAGCTTCCTGAGAAGTACACGTTTTGTTAGTTTTTGAGAACTGATCACCAAAACAAGCAAGCATGAAGACCCATAAAGAAATACTGTAAACACTATTTCAATATAATTGTCATATACACAATAGAAATTTGAAACWATTTTTATCTATGACAATGGTTCAAGCTGTAATTCAGAGATGCCTCATTTAATGTCTTTTTTTAAATTATACAGGTCATATTTATAAAGATTTTCAGTGAAGTTATTATTCACAGTCAATCTGGGATGTGAGAATGAATAGCTCACATTGCTGACAAGAGGAACAATCTCTGATGTATAATACAAAGCAGCATCAACTCAAGAAAGGCTTCAGACTGGAATAAAAGAATTTGTGGCAACCAGGAAGAGAACAGCAAAATTTAAGAGCCACAGSACTTTATTTAGTGGATGTGTAAATGAGGAAGACTGAAAAGAGGGGCTGTCCCTAAGTGAAGGAGCAGTAATGCACTGCTACAGTGACTGCACGGCACTAAAACTAACCCTGCAATGAACCCAATCACTCTATCCCACTGTCACAAAATCTATAATTCAAGGCATGTATGTAGATAAAAACTAATAGGGTCTTTCTGGATTATTTTAAGTTTTTATCRCTGCTAGGCAATTAGAGCCAAGGTAGAACTAGCTAGACCACAGTTCATTTTCATAGATATGAAAACTTTCAAGCCTCAACTCAAAGACTTTGCCACAGCTCTGACCCTTATAAAGGATGATGTTCAAGCTGCCTTTTGGGAACAAGCATCATCCAATGCTGAAAGAATGAGGCTGKGATGAAGGCTGCACCTGCAAAAATATTGATTCAAGACAAAAACAGTTCCATCATTATAATAAAATCGCTTGTTCCATTCTTATTTTCTTTAATAAAATTCTCATTCTCCCATACGTGCAACACATAGCTCTGTTAGTCAGAGTCAGATATTCATCAGAATTCATCAGCCAAATAAAAATGCAAGTCACTTCATCCTGAAATGCAATCAATGCTGTGCAAAAGCTGTCCACAAATGTAAAACTGTTCATGCATTCAGCATACTTTTTTTAATAGATCACAATTCTGTGGTCTCCTTATGTCAGAAAAATATCAAYTGTAAACAAGAAATGGCATTAGATGTGGTCAGCAAACATTCATATAAACAAATCTCATTAGAATGCACTCAGTTAAAGTAAATTTGAATTGCCTTGTATAGTAAGGAACATAAATACTTAAAGCCACACAAGGACTTTCAGCTAGATYAAATATAGTAAGAAGCACAGTATGAGAGTCTGTGTACATTAGGTAAGAGAAAAGGAAGTGAATAAAYAGTCACTGTACAAGTAGAAAAATGGTCACGTCTAAAACTGCTACAAATCAGCACAGTTCACTTGAAGTGGTTCAGAGAATTTCTAAGAACTGAAGAACAGTCAGCAAGAAAGAATAATGTATATGGGACCTATACCAATATCTCAAACCAAACTCAAACTAAATTCTGGTTCAGATTCTGAAATATTAGTRTAAGTGATACTTTTATTGGTACTAGAGGTGGGAGGAAAAGAGGAGTTTTAGAAAAGCTATAACTGGAACTGAACACAGAATGCTGAAATAACAAGTCAGATTTTACACTCAGATTTCCAGAAAACTCTAACCAAAAAATATGCATAAACATGTACAAAATTATACAAAGCACTTGACTTRCCAGCAGCTCAAATCTCAAGGGCCATAGATGGATTGTTTTCAACATTCAGATCCTTTGTCAAACAACTATAGCCTTCAGCCCTGTATGAAGGCCAAATGGAGCCAAAAGATGGCATTGTACTGGTTTTAATAGAGCTTGGATTTACCAYGATTACACATTTTTAAGACCTTTATGCCAGCTGAGGTGAGCATGTCTGTATAACCTCATTCCTATGAATCCCAGTCCTCCATGATTTAGCACATTCTTTAAGCCTATTTCCCAGGAAGAGCTTTCTTACTTCCCTCACATCAGTGCAACCAGGTCAAACTGATGCCACTTGCAACACAAATAATTAATTGGGTTCTTTTGTGCCTGTGACAATCAGCTCCCTCTGAATTATCTTCTGGTTTAGTACTCAGCAGTGACACTGAGGTAGAAGACCACAGTGCCCTGAAGCAAGTCAGTAATGTCATGTTGGAGTATGGGCAAACTTGCTGGTGAATAATTGAGTGGGTAAACCATGCAGCAATATATGTCAAATAAATGGCAGAYGGTTCTGAGGTGATRAGACAGAATTGGGGACTAGTGAAGGCAGAAAGCTGCACACAGGAAATGAGATGCTGTTTGACTTCTCCATCACTGATGGAACATCTCTGAGACAGATCAGGTACAAGAATAAATTCATCACCCTTTTACAAAGCCCTATTGACATCTTGTCATAACTGTAATGTGCTGAGAGAGGCTGAAAATTCAAGGAGTCAGTGCAGCAAAGCAATAAACTGACAAAAGAAAACATTGTGAAAAGTGACAGGGAAGTTTTGGGTTTTGGGGGTGCTGTTTGCATTTCTTGCTGGTATTGTTTTTTTTTCCTAGTACTTAGTAAAGATTAAAAATAAAACTCCTGTGAACACACCTCCTTAAATCTTTTCAGAGCACAGCAAATTGAGCTAAGATACCACCACCAATCTAATAGCTTATCTAAGAATGGGCTGCAGCCAGCACTGGGAAGAAGAACCAGAGCTTCAAGCTCAGATTTCCTTTGATTTAAGACAGGTTCTTGCTGCTTTATACCACAATATTAAAATAACTATCTGTGCAGAGGGACCTACTAAAAGGCACTGCCTAACTCCCAAAAGACTAATGCTTGCTACTTACGCAGAAATACAACATTGTGAAGTGCAATATTATGGGGTTTGCACTTAAAAAAGTAGAGTGAAGAAAGTTTTTAAAAAGAAAAAGTTGAGTTATAAGGGTCTACATTAAAAAGTTTGCTAGAATCAGGCTATCCCTAAAATCAACATTTCTGCAAGCAAAATGGAACTTTTTTTGGAACTAAGAATGTTCAGTCACAAAGAGATTTACAGCTTCCAACAGACAATTCAGGACTCTTTTATTGTAATTATAGGCAGAGATTTAATCTGTCAGATAYGCAGATTTATGCAACTAGTGTCACTAAAGAATACTGAGATCTTGTGCTTTAATTACAGAATAGTTTATTAAAATAAGGCAAAACAACTACCACAAGTTAGAACATTATGCAGTCTCTGAAATAATGGAAACCACCCTTTGCAAGAAGGTATATATGTCAAGGGTCTTACTTTCACTGATTCCTTCTCATTCTCTGACTGCTCATGTTCCACATGTGCTTTCTCAAGGGCTGCATCCTTCTCTTTGAGCTCCTCTTTCAACTGATCCACCTGACGTGTGGCAGTTCTCAGTTTCATCTTCATTTCTGCTATCTCATCCTAATAGAACAGGAAGTGAGATCACARAGAGGGTTAAAGCAAGAGGTTGTTTGTGATGGGGAGTTCAGGCTTATTTAGATGTTGGAAAAGATAGTCACAATGCATGAAAATAGATCCGTTGTGCCTATTACAAAACATGGCTTTTTAATCCAACAGAACAAAACAGTTTCATTAAACAACATTTTTTTGTTTGTGCCACCTTCACATTGCTATAAAAAAGCCTTGAAAACATACATTGACAAAAATAATGGCCATCAATCATGAYTTTAATAAGCCATTTAACTTAAAGTGCTGGACACACTATAAGAACTAGTAGTCAATTCAAATTACTAAGATTCTGATCATATCCMTCTGTTTTCATGCTTCCAATAATGTGCTTTTCCAGTAGGTTATACATCAGAGAGAAGACATCACAATCTCTCATGTGAATACATCCTCTTCCAGTACCAGATCAGGGTAGCTTAAAGCTCTTCCAGCACTCTCCACCATAGGTGTGGATTTAAGGGATGTTTTCTTGCATGAAGTGTTTAACACAGGCTAAGCAAGATCTTGATCCATGGCAATGTTCACCCAAGTAGCACAAAGAAAGCATGGATTAGCAGCAATATGTCATTAGACCCAACTGTATGTTCAATTACTCTTGTGAAAGCAAAAATTATCAAAAGCTGTCTTTGCCACACAGCCAATAAGTCTCTTTAGTGTTGTAAARGATGACAGAGATTTAGCATATAGAGCCCAGACACACCCAAACACATTCTTAATTTTTTAATTAATGAAGAACAGTAAGAACACACAATTTTGCAAACTGGTCTCCTAACACCAAAAGAAATCCCCAGGAAGAAAGAATCAGCCTGCCAAGGGACCTTATTACAGCCTGCCAGGGGACTTTTCCATTTTACTGACTTGAACATTATGTGACTCGGGAGACCACTATCAAGGTGGGCATAAGATCATTTCACATTAAGCAATCAAAAAATACTTGCTTCTAGATTTATCTAAACAAGCAAAAAATGCTTGCTTCTAGATTTATCTAAACAAGCTTGTGCAAATTTTACTTCCAAAAGGAGAAAGACTTTAATGTTTAAAACAACCTTTTTTTTTTTTTTTTTCATGACTGGCCAACCTGTTACCGAACATTCAATAGCTATTTTTCTCACTGCTAAACATAACTCTACCTTGGGCCAAAAGATCTTTTGGGGTCAGCTATTTTCTCCCACAGGACTTGCTAAAAGAGTTTTGTAGTATGACAAGTAATTTATTAAAGTCTAAAAGCTGGCCTCTAACAACTGGATCTGTGAACAGCATAGTGTATACCACCATGTAACATTCAAAACCCAAAAGTTTKCTCCATTTTCTAACTCAGCACATAGATGCCCATTCTTTATAAATAAGCAAATTCATGTTATGTGCTTTAAGATAAAGATAACTCGGCAAAAAACACCCAGCATTGTGATTTTTCAACCTTATTTCTCCTGAGAGATTGTTTGTGGGCAGCAAGAATCCCAACACTGCATCCAGTGATGAGAGGTTGACTAAGGTCAAGTAAAGCATCCCACATAAATGGCAAAATAGTACATTCCTCATCAAATTCAGCRCACAGCTGGATAGGAACTTTGACAGCTCATTCCCATCTGCTTTTCAAACAAGCCTACTCAAACCGATTCAAACCTAAGCATAAATCTGTAATTTACTACATATGTTTATGTCATAAATACTTATTTGAAAATAACCCAAGCCCGTAAATGACAGCTATCCAGACTCCCAGTGTCTGCCAATTACAATGGGATTTGTGTAGTATTTTAGACCTTTATATCAGAATAACATCATATATCCTTAAGTGGTCTGTTCTCTTCTTCTAGTATTGTTAGTGAGATCCCCAAGGAGGAGATATGAATGAAGAGAATCGTCTCCTGAGGAAAATTACACTCCCTGAAAGGAACAAGCAAGGTTGGAAGCATTTGGTTCTTGTCAGAAAATTCCACTTCAGCTGGGAAAGCATACCCTCTGCTTCCTRAATCATTATTCACAGTAAAGTGCATACACATTCACAGCTAAGGAGGTAATCTTATTCCTCTTATACCCTATTTCACATACATGCATACAACTCCTAAAGGGATAGAACAGACTGGAGCCAGGATGGCTTTMTGATTCTGTAGCTCCAGTATACCATGATTTTATGCTTGGTTTGAAGCAGGGATATTTCCACATGGTGACTGTGGATTCCTATTTCCAGTCCAAATACAAATGGTATAGATAAAACTTCAGGGACCTAAAACATTTATTTCCCCAAAACCCAAGSAATGAAGAAACCACTTCTGCCATTGATCCACAGAGCTTTCCTTTAACAAATTAAAATTAGATCAGGAAAAAAAAAAGAGCAGAGAGAGAAACACATGGCAAAATATATCCTTCTACCTTAGCTTCAATCAGATTTTTACTGTACAAGGTCCTCTCTGCTCTCAGAGTTTCACAAAAGTTTTGTTGCTGTTTTAATTTAAACACTTGCACTTGTATTTCCTTCTCATAGTCACAGATCTGCATTTGATGTATTTCAAGATCTTTCATGTGATTGAGGATCTGGAGCAAAAGGAAAGAAAAAAAATTAACATGATTAGACCATCATCACAAGATTAGAAGGACAGGACAGAGTATATGATTTTCTTCTTTTATGACAATTTCAAATCCCTGTGATAAGCAGTTTTAACTACAGCTGAAAATTACTCCAGTCCAAATACAAGTTTAACCTTTCTGACTTGCTTATGTGGGACAACATAAAAGCTGAGGAATCATACGGACAAAATCCAGGAAAGAAATACATTTCTAAATGCAATTCATATGCAGTTGCCCCGACTCCACTTTTGAAGGCACAGGTTTGGGATAAAATTCATATTTATATGTCAAAGCAGAGAAGAAAACAAATATTTTCATCAAACAGTCAATAACTGCAAAGTTTGCAGTGGACAGTGTTGTCCCTTTCTTAACAGCAAAGCCTTGGGAATGCCTCACTACAGGGCAATAGCTTAAATAATTAAATATTCTACCACGTACCTCCAACCAACTTTGAAGATCGGGGAGAGCTAAATAGAGAAAATTTTATTAYAAAAGCAGGAATACAATTCCAGCACATTGTAGCTGACTTCAGATGATCCCAGGAACTGCTTACAAGGCAATACAAAAACACAGGCCCAGTTTATAATCTACTCCTGCCTTTTCCTTTCCAGTTTAAACAATCTGCCAATAGTAATAGCATGGGGAAGAAATCAATAAGGCGTATTTTCTATCTGCACTATGGTGATCATAGGCTAGAACAARATTTGAAAAGTAGGTCACTGCATTTGTAAGTGTTTTGCTTGGTTTTGATACAATATAAGTGCAGTAAGATAGTGGATGAAGTTTCCTAAGTTGTGCTCACTGGCTGGATGCTGACTTTGCTTTTTCAGGAATGATTAAACCCAAATAATGTTTTCTTATAAATACAGAAAAGATACATGCAGTGTTTCACAACACTCCCTGTGGGAGGCTGAGCATCCTCAATTCCTAAGYAGTCAATAGGCACACTACACCTCTCAAATTTGGCAGTGAGGGCCCAAAGCTAAGCAGAAAGTATTTGTATTCATAGTTTTTCCTGTATCCTCAAAGCTTTTTTATCTGTACACTAAACTATCATCTACTAGTGGTTATCTGTTTAGTTCAATGAACATACTCAATATGTCACTAGTGGTGCTGTCCTTATTTGTTTATCCATTTTTAACCACCCCAAGAAATGCTGCCATCAACTAAATTATAAGCCTATTGAAYATCAGGTTTTTCAAAACATTATTTCAATTAAAAAAATTAAATACATCTTTTCATTTTCCCGGATAGGTTGTTAATTGTAAACTTAATATTTTAAAATACTTTCAAATATTKTATTTGAAAAAATCCAACATATTAAAGACTGGTTTTGTGACTCCTCAGAAAGCACAGTCAGAGAACAGTTCAGATGGCAGTGAAAGGTATATTTCAGTGCCTCCTTTTCAGCAGCTTAAATCTTCCACAGAGAAACTAAGATTTTTTAAATTAAGAATTTCAATTCACAAAAGAAATATTCTGCTAACAGTTGTACTCAGTAACACAGGCTACATAACAAGGAGCAAAGAATTGGGGTTTTTCTCACTTGTGCAGGCTAATCTAGAAGTGTGATTATTCAACAAGTGACACTGACTTGAAAATAAGGAGTCAGCCGAGGCAATAGCTAGAAGAGGAAGTCATGCATAAATTCTCACCCCAAAAATATTTTACTGTTGTGGATATAACTTCGCTGACTCTGTTCATCAGTTAATAGTAAATGATGATTTTGAAAGATGAATTCTGCAGCGCTGTAGAGTCTGTCTTGCTATAAATAGCCAGACAGCTTTCAGAGCCAGTATGGCTACATCTTTGGGCTTAAATGGGCTTGGCTTTTTTCCAGCTCTTATAAAACTCCAAAGGTRGGCTGCAGCCTCCTGCAAAAYCAGCKTGGTGGCAAAAGGTGACAGAAGAGCACTGACTGGCCATGGACTTTCTGCCCATCAGCAGCTCATTCCYCTTCAGCTGTGAAATGACTCCTGGAGTTTTGTCACAGCTTCTCAAATCTGAATAGGTCAAACAATGAACCCAAATATTACCTATTTACATAATAAMCCTGATCCTACATCCTCCTACTCTGCATTTGGACTTGAAGGATAAGACTATTGTCTCACATACTGTTMTTGCTGCTCTTTAACTGCAAGCAGAGTCAGGAATTGCCCCTTTRGTGAGCCAAGGAAGCCTGCAAGTGCTTTGGAAACCTGCAGTCACAATGCAGGCACCATTATACAAACAACTCAAGTGTCATAAGCCATTTACTGAGCCTCTGCCTTATAARAAGTGACAGAATTTACACCCAAAGTGGCAGGGGAAAAGAAAAGTAAGTAAGCAAACATTTGTCTTTCTCACCTGCAAAATATTATGGGCAACCCCAGCTAGAATTAAAAGAAAGAGCCTTGTAGTTCTGAGTGTTATGAATTACTCTCTSGCCCTAGTTTACAATGTTCTTAACTCATACCTGTTCTGTTAGAAATGCACTATGAGGGAAAGAAGCAAAATACGACTTTGCTACAAAGGCAAATCTCAATTTTGTGGAATATTATTTACAMGGAAATGACAAGAGGTATTCCAGGCAATGAAGCATATACCATTCCAAAATGATTTAAAAGCCCCTGGTCACATGAAGTTGGAAGGATAATTTTAAAATGCAAAAACAGYAAATAACTTGTGAGTTGAAACTGCTTGAAAGCTAATCCCAGTAAATCACTGAGCTTCTTGGAGGGCTCTTCAATGTGATACTCAGCAATTAATGGAACATGCTAAAATCATGTTCCTGATTTTATTCCATTAGGAATAGTTATATATAACAATGGGCAGCAGGCAACACAAATTGTATGCTGCATTTCTCTGTGGCTGCTCCTGGAAAACTTGTTTTGCAGACTACCTTGAACATACTGAGATGTTTTCACATACTGGAGTAATCCTTCAAAATGTTAAGTACCTTACAAAGATGTTSAGCACTGTTAGCTCTCACTAGCCTCACTTTTAGGACTGTGATCATATGGAAGATAAGGTCTTCTGTAGGAAGACAGGACAATCAAAGTATAACTTCCAACAGCACATGAGAGTTTCAACTGTGCGACTCATGTTTAAGAAGTTGAGAMGTCTTGGTTTGAACTCCAGCCCTATCTTCATTTCCCAATTGATCACTGAATAAGAGCAAGAAATACATGGCTGTACTATTCCAAATCTCTCACAGAATTAATAAATCTCTCTCCCATTGATAACATTTCCCTAGASCAACCTGAAGCAGGCAACATGGCAGTAGGAGGCAACATGCACTAACAACAAGAAAAATCTGTACACTGTATGAAGACCACCAATCCAAGATTTCTCCTACTGGCTTGTTAGAAAATTAATGTACCACCTTCGCAGTTTTAAGAGTAAAACAGGAAAGAACCACTTGCACCAAGAGCTGCTCCTACCTTCTCTTTGAGCTCACTTGTTTCATGGATGAAACTGTCTCTCTCCTTCTCTAATTGGTAAATAATCTTCCTTTGTTTCTGAGCTTCTATTTTATAACTTTGGATTTCTGATTCCAAGTGCTGTTTTGACTGTTCATGGAGCTTCACCAAATCTATCTGCTTCTGAGTAGCATTTGTAGCCTTGATCAGGTTCTATAGGGAACAAAAAACAATGAGTCTTGAGCTGAAAAGGCAACACTGTCACCACTGTGAAAAAAGCATGCCATTGTTAAAGTGGATTATGGACTTTCCAATGTTATTATCCTTTATCTAATTTGTTCACTTGAAATACTTGAACCTCAAATCTGATTTAAAAAACAAAATCTCTAGCACAGCTACTAAATAGAGCTTTTTCTGATTTGAAGTTAAAACACTAGTGTCTGCATTACCAAAAAAAAAAAAAATTGACAGGATTGTTTACAAGTGGATGTAACTAATGACTGGAAAATCCTTACCAGCTTTAAGGCATTTTGATTGTAAAGCACGCCAACAGACAGTAACATTCATAATAAAGYCAAATACTCTTCCTTCTCATGTCTTAAATAAAAAGTTCAAGCTGGAAATCAACCAAGCTTAGTTTAAAATTTTGTAYAAGGATTAAATAAAAAACATCAATATATCATCTTTACAAAATCAGCCTTCTGGTCCCACTTTAAAATTTCTTTCTCTATACCAAACAAATACTTGTTACCTGTCAAATCAGAGCCTCTGCTAAATTCAAGACACAGGACAGTGAATCTACACCACATAAAGCATGTCAAAAATAATCTTTTAGCATTGAATTTAGTAGATAACACTTCAGGAATGCCAATAAACATGAGATGCTACATTGCAGTGCAAGAACTTTGGGCTGATGAATACAATCAGTATGAGAAACAGACCTAAAAGCAAGGATTACACTCAAACAGCCTGCCAAGCTGCTACACAGTGTATCAACACTCCAGTTTGTTCTTTTATTAGAAAAGACTTAGATTAATACTAAATTTCATAAGATACAGAGTGTAAAAGCACAGATGTAATGAACTCTTTGGATATCAAATAATGGGTTTGCAATTTGAAATCCCTGATGGTTTATATGTTAAAACTTAGAAACCTGTGTGTTTATGGATACTAACACTCTTTCAGCGCACAGAAAAGACATATTTTGTACATCCACTTAAGGAAATCTGAAGGCTTTAACATAACACCATGTATTCTAGAACATTTCTGTATTGCTGTGTGTATTTAAGCTATGGGCATCTCATTCTCAAGCTGTGAGGTTTATCAATATGACCAATKCAAACTCACCTGATTTAGCATATCCCTTTCCCTCACAAGCCCATCTGTAGTTCTCTTGTCAATATCTGCCTGCTTTTTTGCTATCTCTAAGTCTAGAGAAAAAGAGGAAAGAGAATAAATCCKGGGTTTAAATGGTACAGCTGTCAAAAATGCAGAGACAATTTTTAGTGGACTTTTTAAAAAGCCTTGACGTGAAATGACCGGTTTAATTAGCTGCAAACAGATTTTACAACCCTAGTATCAGCTGATGATATTAATGTTTATTTGGGTACCTAAAATAACTTAGAAGAACTCAGAAGACAGGTCCATCCATCTGTTAGGCACCTACCTTTCTCCAGCCTGATTATTTGATTTTTTAGTATGCTTTTGTCATGTTCTGCATCAACTCTTTGCTCCTCTGCAGTACGCAGCTTAGCCTGGAGAACATCTCTTGTTTTGCTCAGCTTTGAAATGTCAAGGCGCATCTGAGCTGCTTCATCCTCTCTCTCCTACAGAACAGCAACAAGGAAAGGGGAGAGAAAGCATCCACAGAAAAAGAAAATGCTTTTGGCACACACTTACTCCACAAAACTCATGAAGAAGGCGTAGAAGTGCTGTGGGTCAGCTGCAGAAAGCAATATGTAGAGTCCCTCTAATTTACTATACAACAGAGAAAAATATAATCAATCAAAATAGTGCCTGCTTATTGGGAAACATAACCAATAATCACAACAGCAATCAGTCTTCTTCCTTTTAAGAAGTATAACTTCCTCAYATAATTCAGTGCCACTGTTAGGCTTTACAGACTACAGTGTTCCATTTACAGCCTCAGATACTGATTCTGTGAGATGGGGAATCCTGCTATGATGTATCCTCTGCGAGAATGGGAATCTCCTCAGGTATTACTGACAACTACCTTCAAGAGGTTTCAGAGTACTTTGACAACTGTATCCAGCTCAGTACACTGCAGGATAGTATTGCAGGCACAGTCACGACTAAGACTGCATCCCAGATCATGACAGAGCTCTCAGAAGCTTTAGCAATTGGTTTAACTATTAACTGAGGAGCATCTATTTTTTTGTTCCCGTAAGTCCATGTGTATGACTCTTAAAGTTCCACCACCTTTTCTTGAAATCAGGATAAGATCACAGAATCAAAATTCTCTGACACTCTGAAGTCCCAAATATAAGTCATATTTGTAAAGTTTTAAACAATTATGGTATTGGGAGAAGTAATGATAAAATTGGATATCCCATAAAATACAGTAATTTGTTTTTCAAATAGGTAAGAAAAACATCCTTCAGTTTGCTTAATAAAATACAACAGAAAAAAAGCTCCTACCATACTCCATTAGGGATCCAAATCAGAATCATCTATATTGTGTTAGTTGTGAACTGAGCTTTTAATCTRTGAGGGGTTAGTTTCTATCAGACTAACAGCCTCTGTTGGCAAACAAACCTTTTTATTTAGGTGAATTAGTTATATTTGATAAAACTCAAGAAGAGAATTATTTTCTACTTGAATTTTCTAATGTTAAGTGTTTTAACCCCAACGATGACAGAAAATGCAAGATAGGATAAATAGCACAATAGCATCTAACATCTATGATTACCCTATGTGACAAGGGCTCTTAAAGAAGCCTAAAAAGAATATGCAGAAATCCTTTAATCCTTCCTCAGCTGAAACTCACCTGCTTCTGAGTTGTGTAATATGACTGTTAAATAATGTGAAGTCAGGCAACCATTTAGATCTGAAAGTAAACACCATCTTGGTTATTTACATTTAACTTYCTCAACCATACTGAAGGGGAAGAAATTTTAGTATTGAAAGCAATTCCCTCTGGTTGAAGCTATCCAGGACACCACTGTTATAATTTATSAACATTTTTCAATGGATTTTGGCAAAATTCAAATTATGTTAATCATTGTAAGAAAGTCATTGCTCTTATTTGAAGATCACAGGATTGAAAAAAGACCCCATGTTTGTCAAAAGTACCACCTATCCCTCATGAASAGAGTGCGTTGAGCATTTTGGTTCATGTGTTTTATGAAACAACTCTTCCAGGAGAACAGGTGCTACATTGTCAGGTGAGAGGGTTGGACATTACCATGACCACGGTACTGCCTCRGAAAGAATGGCATTCAGCATCAGCCAGATCTGTTCCTAAAAACTACTCAGGTTTCCTCCAAAACTACCCATGGGGGACTATCAGGAGAAGAAAACTGAAGTCATCCCTGTCCCAAGGGCAAGACATCATTGGAATGATACAGCTGGTAGGATGAACCTTCTGGAACTTACCTTCAGCTCTACCGTCTTCTGACTGATGTCCTTCATCACATCGTCCATCATTGCACTCTGCTGCTCACTCTCTTGYGTCAGCTTTTCATTTTTCATCTTCAATTGCTCAAGTTCTTTACCAGCTTCTTCATTCAAGATCTGTTAGGTTGAAGAACAATCCTATTAATTCTTTTAAATCKCATTACAATATCTACATATACATGAAGACAGAACATTCCAGCTACCCAGGGGATAAAAGCTGCTGCAGATTGTTGTCTGCTTAAAAACCACTCTTCATTGCTGATGAAATTACTAATGTTACATATGATAGACGGTCATACTGACTAGGAGGAATCATAATTTCTAATGAATAACACATCCAGTGCTRTTTTTTTCTGGAAACTTAGCAGGTCTCTATCACAGGTGGTAGATAAATATTTTACTTCTTGTTAGGCACTTGGCAACCATCACATAATATTACTTGATRCATACAATTACTGAAAATTAGCATGAGATTCAAATTACTTCAATCAGCAGAGGCAGGGGAGCTCTGTTTTATGAGCAAGCATGCTACTTTAATGCGCTGATAACATTTCTCTGGATACATGGTTGGCTGAGACCAGGACACAAGCATTCTGCCCTTTAATGTGTCTTCAGTYAAACATTTGGAACTGTGGTTTTGTGTTTCTATACAGAACGTATATTTCAATATTGGAGCTACCAGACTTATCTTGTGCTTGATGGAACTTTCCTGGCAGATATTACAAATATAAATGAGGAAAGAACAACCATCATAGTTTTCATCACTTCATCACATCCTGATGAAGTCAATGTATATTATGCCCTTAAAAACATTAAAGGAAGAGAAGTAGAATCTAGTGTAAAAACAATGAATACTCTTTCTTGTATTGCAAATGTCAGCATAACACTGTTTCACGAAATCCTTTATTGCAACTAGGACGGGGTGGGATAAAGCTTATAGAAACTGTATAAAACTATTTTCAATGTCTTGCAAGAAAGGATATTTTATTAGAAATTTCAAATAAAGGAAGAAGAAGAAGAAGAAGAAGAAGAAGAAGAAGAAGAAGAAGAAGAAGAAGGAGAAGGAGAAGGAGAAGGAGAAGGAGAAGGAGAAGGAGAAGGAGAAGGAGAAGGAGAAGGAGAAGGAGAAGGAGAAGGAGAAGAAGAAGAAGAAGAAGAAGAAGAAGAAGAAGAAGAAGAAGAAGAAGAAGAAGAAGAGAAGAAGAATAGCAGGCATCACAAACAATTACAATTCAGTTGAGACAATAACCTGATGAAATTGCAATAGCTGTGTCACCTTCTTTTGCAGATCTCTGCCGTGACCCTTGCACAGTTGCATAGCCTGTGTTTTGGACAGACTTCTAGCAAAAGACGTGCAGGGCCTTCACAGACACCCTCAAGCCAGCACAGGCAAGAAAGACAATGCAGAAGTCTGGTTAATTAGGCAATACACGGCACTTTCTTGTGAACTCTTGGCTTCCAGGACAATTTAGATAATTGAATGCCCCTAAAATCTACACTTTGAAAAGCTGAAAGAAAGTATAAAAAGGTGAAAGAATGGAACAGAACTAGAAATTGTAATACAATGTGATTGCCATGGCAGATGATGGAGCTGCTCTCAAAAGCTGCATCAAATCAGTGATATTCAGAGAAATAATCAGGTCTTCTCTGTATCTCTTTATGTTAAGTATTATATTAAGACTTTGTGTTGACTAAAAATTGGCACAGACTTCTACCTTCACAATTTCAGGGACCAGAAGGGAAGAACAAGGCATAAAWGTCATAAATTTACAAGATACACACAACTCACAAGGAAGTTTCCCTTGAGGTAGGACTGGTTTACAGTGATGAGATCTCCCCTGCCATTTACTGAAATTGCTTCTGTGAGAGTTTCTCAAAGTCAGGGGAAATGGACTGAAAACCTTAAAATTCACACACTTGCAGAACACTATAGTAGGACATTTCCAGATAAAAGTTTTTAGAAACAGAATGAGGAAAATCAATCAAAAAGGTTTATGAAGACAGTTCCTTGCCCTTTCACAGGCTTGAGAGGCAGATAAAAATTATTGTGAAAAAGAAGAAAGGGGATGGAGGTAAAATTATTTTACCAATGCCACTAGACACAATCAATAGCAAAACTGGCCATATAGTCAGAAGTCCAACCTGACTATTTATTAGTAAATTACTATTTATATAAAAATAAATATTTATTAATTTTAATACATTAAAATAATATTTCTCTGTCTCCCTTCAGGAACATCAATTTTTTTTAATTAGACATTTGACTCTAATCTTAGACCTGATGAATACAGTGTGCAATGTACCCTACCTTCTGCTCTGTAAGATTATTTTGTATTTTCAGTTGTTCCTCTTTGTTATTCTCTATTTGTTGCTGTAACTTTTGGACCTCGGCTTGCTTGTTATCCATTTCAGCTAGAAGATTTTTCAGCTCATTCTCCATTTTTTCCTTCTTTCGAGCCTCTCGTACTTCCTCGCTTTGACGCAGCTGGATGTCTTGCTGAAGCTATAATAATAAAGAGGAAAACAGTTTTAAATTGTGCTGCCTTTTACTCAGGAAAACAAGTCACCACTCCTACTATGCTTGATTTTAAAAAACAAGAGCTTCTATATTACTGTAATCACTACTTTATAGAATATGCTAGATCTTCTCAGAAGTAATTACATTTTCTAATGGTTGAACAAAAATTCTGCATGAAGGAACCTATTTACTGATGACAAAAATTTGTTAAGCACCAGCCAGTTCACCCACACYGAAGGGCTGATACAGTTCAAACATAAAAGCATTCCTCTGGAGATACAGTGGCATAAATGTCTTTACTGTAATAAATTACTTGCAAAGTGGTACTTTCTGAATGCAGCATTAAAATTAATTGGGGCTTGACGTTGTATTGCAAGGATTTTTATTTTTATTTTTCTCTCTGACCAGCAGAAATATTTATTACACAGATATTAAAGGAAAGAGATGTCAGACCAGTGTTCATTTTCATAACTGGTCTCAATCTTTCTGCTCTCAAAGTTCCTATGTGGGAACTCTGAAAGAGGAAATTTTTCTCATTTTTCATAGACTGTCTTATGACTCCTGTTCTCTCCCTCCACAAAAATTTGATGCAGCAGAATCAGCAGAGGGGAGACACAGGGGGCTGATCCATATGGAAATATTCAGTTCAGCCAGGGACCAGCAACTGAAAGATGCTCTTTGCTTAAGGATTYCTCCCCCTCTGAGCCCACAGATGAAAAGTTGCCAGAACTGACAGGGTCTTCAATGGGATCTTCAAAGAGACATTGTCATTTAAGCAGTCTGAAGTGGAGAATAATTTCATACTGGGAGAATGGGAGGTGATTACAAATGCTATAACAATTSTGTAAATTTAAGGGTTGATGAAGTGAGTATCAAAAGATTAAGGCTGCCAAAATTCAACAAGTTTTGACTCTTTTCTCCCATGCCAACAATGCTGTCAGAAAAACAAAGATTTTATATTCTCTTCTAGTACTTTTCCATTCATCTGCTTTAGAAATAGAAACTATTTTTGTGCAGAAAACCTAGACTGATCTTTACTTTCCTACTTGTGATTAATAAAAAACTAAAAGCCAAATASTCCTTTTACCTCTTCTCTGTTCAGTGTTTAAGAGTGATTTTCTACTCTTCCTTTCTCCTGGTGCCTTGTTCCAGCCCCTATTTATATTCYGCTTTAAATTCTTTCATTTCTCATTATTTTGCTTACATATTTGACGTATCAGAGTTCTGCATCCCATCTCCCCTCCTTTTCTACTTTCTCTACATTCAGTGGCTGTTCCACCAATCCTCAGCCTTCTCTATCTCTAGCTGCTCTATACATCTAAAGGAAGCCATACGTATTTATCACTAAAGAACAACTGTCAAATCAGATGGTCAGAAAAACAGAAAGCCTAACTTAATGTAAAGCTTAGATGGAGTATGACYGCTCTCTACAGACACTGGTGCGGTGAAAAATTTAAGCTGAAAAACAGYTAATCCAGAATGAGTGCAAAGAGGCAGAYAGGAGGTACCTAAACATTTAAAGARTGAGGATCTGGAAAGCKTCTCATAAAGAATAGGRGAGAAAATAATGTCACTATTTTTTAAGACMAATTTTGATGCCTTCTTAAGAATGGTGGTATCTCATCATATGRCAGCCACTGCCAACAGTAAGGGACTAAGCATCTCCATTCCAGGTCTATGTTCTAAGTGTCCCTTTCAAGGCACAAGGATTTACAATAAAGAAAACATCCCATTTCTCCAGTATGAAAGATGATTATGATTCACAAAAAGAAACCTTGACCTCACTGGGGTATTGGGAAGCTATGGAAGCAGCTGGTRTATGACAACACACTTTGCAAAGTAGCAATAGAACTACAGAAAAATATAAAAAATAAAAAAGCCATTCACAGCAGAATCCTTTCAGAGCACTCCTGAAAATGTGTRAGATGTGAAAGAACAGGTAGTAGCATACCAGTCATGGAAGATCAGTTGCAAGTGTGGAGAAAGGCTCAGTACAGACCTGCAAAACTGATTGCTCTGCCTCATTTTTCGCCTTCTCTATTTCCTGCTGACGTTCTGTGATTTCAGTGAGACTTTGACGTAACTTCACAACTTCTGACAATAGCTGATCCCGCTCCTCTGTTACCTCTTCTTGTAATTTTAGCAAATCCTCAACACTGGAAGCAAGAAAATAATAGTCAAGCAGTGTCACAGGCCATTTCTGTTCTTCCTCTTATGCCAGAGCAAGAGTTTTGTGAAAAACAAGAGTTTAATTTTTTTTTATTATTTTAAAGTCCTCTGTGTTAAGACTGATGGTCAACTGAATAATATGCTCTATCTACTCTGATCAGAGTCACCATCAACCAAGTCAAATAAATCACTCTTTCCTGTTGTACCACATGGGTCTGAATAAAMCTTCCATTTCCCAGAAATGTAACAGGGAAAAAAAAAATCCCTCTTCTATGCCCACTGGAAAATTAGTCAGGGGTCCAAAACTGTTGTAGCCAGTCTCTCTGCACCTTACCTGACTGGACACTTAACAAGGTCACGTCTTAGAGTCATATAATGCAAAAATAAACCTGACTGTCTGTTTTGACACATTTACAATATGAAATTAGGTCCAAGCACTTAGGGTTCAAGCTCCATCTTAAAAGCAGCCTTATTGTTCTGCAAGATTATAGGGTTTTCAAGCTTCAAATCTGCAAAGGAGCTACTTMGTCTCATGACCTTGTCCCTGGACAGGGTAATTAAGCATAGAACTGGAGGGCCATAGAGAAGGAACTTCAAGAACAAATTGTAAACTGGCAGGTGTCAGTAGCCTGGGCAGAGCTGGACATAGGAGCGAGCTGTTGGYAAAGTAACAGCTCCCGGCTCTTGTAGGAAAATGCAAAAATCAGTTAGAGACTTTAGGGAAAGTTATATAGGGGGAGATTGAATGATCAAGTTTTAGATCCAAGGAAAGCTGTTAATCAGGTCCAGAATGTCTCAGGAACAAAAGGTGAGGGAGTAGATTTCTCATGGACTCAGGTGGTTTATGTGCTGGCACATTCCTTGGAGGGGGAAGGGTTTGAGCACACTGAATACTTCTTATTTTTGCAGCCTGGATATGTAGAGCATGCAGAGACGAGYSTGTCCCACACGTATCCTACATGTGYATTATAAATGAACACCTTAAACAAGGTGAAAATGTCAAGCCATAATCAGGAGGGCCAACCATCAGCAATTTCAGTAGAAAGTGTGCAGGTCATAGGGTCAACACACTTAATCTCATCCTTGAATTTAACTTAATCTTACAGCGTGAACAGTCTGTGAGTACTGACACTATGAACAGTAGATTCTGGAGAGCTTCTGAGTGGCTCCAGAGGGAGATTRTTATGTGCACAATATAGTGGCTTAGAGACTCCATCTCAGACTGCATCCCTCATTGTGTGTTTGGTTAAAACAAAAAAAAAATAAACCTGAAAGTGAATAAATATAAAATACAAACAAGAACACAGACAGTGTTAGTGCCTTATAACAAAGCTAGGAACAGAAATCAACTCTCCTGCCTTCTTGATTTATCTACTTGACCTTGCTGCTGTGAAATGTAAAAATGTTGACAGGATCCTATTCTCAAAGTATGCTGAAGTGTTTGTCAGATCAAACAATATGACACATACTGAGAAAGTGCATAGTATTCATTTTATTTGATCTCCCAGCTTAATCCAATACTGAATGAACTCACTCAGAGCTTGATTCTGTACTTGCTCGCTGCATAAACACACAGACAAAAAAATGTGTATTCATGAGATTGGCTTTCCCTCTCCCTTACTTGTGCTCCTGTCCAGCTCTTTCCTTCATTAAATGATTTAGGCGYAAAATTTCCCTTTGCAGTGAGTTGATAGTTTCCTTAGTTTTCTGTTCCCTTTCCTGGGCTTTATCCACCATTTTCCAGGCCTTTTCAAGCTCCTAGGAACAAAATGGAAACAATTACATAAATAAAATAGTGATTTAAACCCCAAGCATGGCTTTGAGGTTCTACATTATCTTTAGGGTCTCCTCAAGGACAGCCAAATAGAAACATCATTATATCAGGTCATAACATCCCTTTCAACCCCTACTTGCATCATATGAAATTGGGGTAGGAAGAATATACTTTTAAAACCATCTCCACGATGAAGAAAATAGAGTAATTTAATTTATATCAATTTTTTACGGAAGTTCTTTACTGTAATTGACATTTTCTTTCTGAAAAAGCCAACCTTATTTAACATTAAACGTAAATTATGACACCTATATTATTGTATGTTGTTAATATATTTATTGAACTGTTAAAAACCAAATATATGTAATATTTAGCTGTTTATTGCCTAAATTAAAAATTAAAGCTATAGAACTAGCAGATGCAAGAGCCTACCAGATTTTGCTGAAAAGATAGCACAAAGTATAACATCTGTAGCCTCTTCAAACTGCAGAGGGAATACATTTCCATTTTATTTATTCAACTAGCTCAGCATATCCAAATTTGAGAAACCATCTGGAACTCAAAGATCAGGGAAGTTTGCTCTTCTTTTTTTTTACCYCACATACTCACAAAGAGTTAAACAATGGGCTTTCCTTGCTCCRAAATTCTAAAAAATTACAGTCAATTAAACTAACTACCTACATACAGTATTTTCATTATTTAATAAATTATTTAGTTAAAGATTTAGAATGAAAAATGTGCTTTTTCATTTATGTATCAAGCATATTTGAACAGCTTTATATATTAAAATAAATTTTTTGTCATACATTTTGAGTGCTAACTTCCATTCAAGTAGCAATGATCATACATAAAGTATTAAGTATCATCCAGTAAATTACAAGCTTTTCATTCATTAATATCCCACACAAAAATGCTTAATTCTGAAATTTAAATAAATGCATGTTAGGCTGAAATAATGGCATGAAGACACAGTGYGTCATGTTGACTAGTAGAAAAGTATAAAATATAATTGTAAATAATGTTTAAGATTTGTCARCTATGAAGAAGCAAACACCCTTTCTCTAGAAAAATGCAAATTGAAAATAAAATTAAAGCTCATTACTTACATCAGAGCTTCCTGCTGGCTGATTAGACTGTGATTAAAATTGGTGAATTAAATCGTTACGACTGGAGTTTTGGGGAATRGAACTGGGGAATAAAATCAATACAGCCTCTGAAAGGTTTTTACAGGCTCCAGTGAGTATTTTGTTCTGATGAGCATTTGCAAAAGTGATCACTTGAAGTCAATGARGCCATTCAGATGAACACTGATTTCAGATCACCCTAAGCTGGCTTTTTGAATTTTATCTTTCATGTGTAAAAACTATCGTATTGAATTTGTATTGATAATACCATTTTTTATAAATAAAGTGAGGAGGCACAGGTGATGGCCATATTAATAAGCAAAATCTAAGTAAGAATTTGCTACAGACTTCAGCATCAGCAAAACCATGCTTCATTGTAGTTGCTTCTTGGTTGATTCTTTTACTGCATTAGCAGATCAATAGATCCTTTATTTTCAAAAGTAAAAAGGAGGAAAATTTTGATGATGGAAGCTTTCACTGAAGAGTATTCACATTGTTATTCAGTGTGAAAGACTGCAGTGTATCAGCAACATCGGGTAATTGCAGTACATGATAGATAGGTAATGCATGGCAGTCTGTTGCATAATTAAAGGAAGTACACTGGATGTTTGCTGTTAGAATTATTCAAAAATTTTTGGAGAAGTTCTGAATTCTGGAACTTGGGAAGCAGAACTTRTGAAGTGTGACTGCTTGACTTTACTTTCATTAAATACACCAAAAGATTACATCMGTTTCATAGCTCAGAAATGGAGAATTAATGGAACACTTTCTTACTATATTGGATTGATACGCCTAGAAATTGAAAATTTGGTAATTTCAAGCAGGGCAGTGCAAGCTGCTATAAATTCCCCTTTTAGCACTCTTCCAGTGCAGACTTAGAGATCAGTGTCCTTACCCACAACAAACAGAATTGTGTTCCCTTCATTATTAGCTTGGCCCTTTCCTCCTTTGATAGAACTGTAAACAGCAAATTGCTATGTCCAGTTTATTAAAACTACAAAACTGAGCCTTGAAAAGCCACCTGAAAATTAACAGCTATTGATTATCACTGGCCCACGTCCTACCAGCCACTGATCTGTGTGGTTAACCCCTGCCCCAAACTCTACTGATTATAACCAGGCTTCACATGGAGAAAAATTTTACTTCTGCAACTTTTATTTCTTACCCTAATGACCCATCAAGTCACCAAGATTTAGGGCCTTAATTTGGAGCARCTATACCACTTTTACAGGAACAGCCCCATCAGGATTCTTTTATGGTTTATAAATAATTAAATCGTGGGGGAGATTGTTTAATTTAGAACTGAATAATATAATCGTGGCTACTTTAGCATTTGAACTTCCTTCAACTCTTAGCTTGGACACATGTGAAACACATTGTTTGAATGTTAACAGAATTGTAGTGAAATACTACAGCTCTAATATAAATTCCCTTCAGAAGAAAGAATAATATGGAATATAAAGGGTTTACCAAGAAAATCCTTAAACAAGGCATGAACATTTTAAACAACATCCAAATAATTCTTGAACCTTTAAGAGAAACACCAGTACTCATAACTAAACTGAAAAAGTATCAGCTGTATACTTTGCTCACAGCACACCACTAAAAATGAAATGTCACATGTTGTGCATTGCATATAATTTCTAACAGGATCATATTGTCAAGCAGCTTTTTCACTAGAAAATCATTTAATGGGTTCAGTAGTAGGAAGTATGGTTAAGTTATACCCTGCCTGAGCTTCAAATCAGCTGCTGAAATTGGAAAGGTTCTTATTTTCCCAACACTTCCACTCCTCAGTTTTATGACATTACTAAGACAATGTCTCTCCTCAGTTYGGGAGCATCTTGTAGGATCACCTCTCCTACTGTTCACACACAGAGCATTGCCATGTAATAGCAAAAATGAAAGTATAAGGATCATTGTGGTTCCTGGCATTCATCTACCAGGTTTTGACTAGCAGCAGTAAAACTCAACAAGATTTTCTATGCTTTTCCTCCTCCTTGAGGAGGCTTTGGGCAGCACCACAGGTTTGCAAGCTGCAGCCATACAATGTCAGTGCTGCTATTTATATTTATTCTGACTGTATTTTCCTCATCATTCTAAGGACAAGAAACTTAATTCAAAGAATTTCTATTTCTGTAGTGCTCAAAAAACACTCTGGATTGCTGCACTGACTTTATTTTACTGGAACAAAACACTTTATTGTAAGGCACGGAAATTTCTCAACTAAGTGCTAAATTAAAGCCTATCTAGATATCTACCTACAAAACTAGGTTTTTAAACCATTAGAATGAAAAAAAAAAGTTTTAAGTATGGTCTTATCACCACTTGGCAGCTTTAGGTTTCTTACAGTGATAATAAACTGTAAGCCTAAAAACATCAACTGTTTTTAGCGAGCCAAGAACTTTGATTTGAATTTGAATTCAAATCAATAATTACAGCACATCAGAGTAAATTGGTGAAATCACACTCAAACGCTCTATAGGATTCCTTTTCAATGCAAACACTGTGAAACGTTTATTTATATGAGTTGTCAATTCCCTGGCCTAAAATCTGTATTTCCACAGTAAGTAGATTTTTTATGTTCTGGCAATAGTTAACATCCAAGCAGCCCTTCAAAAGTATAACAAATCAAAAACTATACACAAAGTTGAAAATGCTTAAACAAAACTATTAGTGAATACTTGAAAGCTGATGGAATTGGTTTAGCGTAAATAAACACAGAATTTGAGTGAAAGCTGTAAAAATACCAGGCTGAGAAAACAAAGCAAAGCAGAGATTAAACAACTGGAGATGCCAGCTCTATATTTAGTCCTCCAGTTTGTTCTCTGCATAAAATCAAGTGTTCTTACAGGTGCTTTTCTTATTACCATGTTTTTCATTAACAATTCCAGATCATACTCCATTCTATTCAAAACTTTACCAACTTCAATGATGATATAGTTTCCTCATCATCTTTAGTGACTTTTGTGAGCAGAGCTACTTTAGATGACTTCTCCACAAGCTCAGCACTCAGCTTCCTGCATTTCACCATGAGATGCATTTCATTTTCACGAGACTTCTTCATAAAAGCAAAGAGCTTCTCATATTCGATACGGAACTTTTCCAGGGCTTCATCTCTGTTCAGTATACTGATGAATTCTTGGGAGTCTTTTTCCAGTGCTTCAAATGCACTTTCATCTAGATACGGTATGTCAGGCTTTTCCTGAGTGAAATAATCAACAAACAGGAAGAATTCAACATCTCAGTAATGACCCCAGAACATAAAAAAGTAATATATTGAGTGTGTAACAGCTACTAAGAAATCATGACAAAATTTTCTGTAATAACAACTCTTTTGCATATAACAACTCTTGCTAGCATATAATATGCACGTTGTAGGCTATTTTTTAAACACATCTCCCCCAATTTCACTGAAACAACTTGTGCTTTACCAGACAGAGTTCTTGTAATTGAGTCCCACAACTGCTTTAAAGGTAAGTCTATAAAATATCATCACTGTGATAATGTTTGAATAATGCATCAACTACTGAGGAAGCCCAGTATTTTAGTCTCAATTCTGCCCAGTTCTCTACCCTCTAAAGTCTGATWAGTTTATGATTTCTATCCAGACAGTGCCAGACACTTGCAGACAAGCACGTCTCAAAGCTTCAGTAATGTCAATGCAAGCCAGTCCTTCCTCTGTGGAAAATGCTACTGTTAAACCTTACACAGAAGATATTTTTGATCTAGCTCAGTTCTGATGTCAAATACTTGCAAATGGACCTCCAAAGTGGTCTCAATAGAATAAGGAAGTACCTCTTCTATCAGCGAGATAACCAACTTCAATGCCGCAGCCCACACTCCAGCCAGGATCAAAGAAAATACACACTGTGAGTCAAAACTTAGTGTGTCCCCGCTTCAAATCTGCTCTGGGACTCACAGGTTTCTTCTCATTTCACCCTCTTCTCAAACCACAGAATCACAGAATTGTTTGGGTTGGGAGAGGCCTTAAAGATCATCTCATTCCTACTCCTGTCGTGGAYTTCCACTGTACCAGGCTGCTCAGAGCTCCATCCARCCTGGCCTTGAACACTTCCCGGGATTGGACATCTGCCAACTTCTCTGGACAACCAGCACCATTTCCTCACCACCCTCACAGTAAAGAATTTTCTCCTAATATCTAATCTAAACCTCTTCTCGGCTTGAATCCACTCCCCTCCGCCCTGTCTCTACATGCTCTTGTGAAAAGGCCCTCTGCATCTCTCTTGTAGGCTCYCTTCAAGTACTTCAGTTTTGATCCTGTTCCTGTGTTTGTGATTGTAAATACAGTTAAAACGCAAGCAGTAATGAGGAGGAAGGCAGGATGGGAATCACACCCACGGTCTTAAATGTAGCAGCTGCTCCTAAATTACAAGAGYTACTACTGCCTGCCTACAAGTAGCTTAATTGCTCCAACTTTCACCACAGAAGTGAGCTCTGCTCGCACAGGTGACACATGAACATGGTCTGTGGATACAGATGATACACAGGTGATGGTGTTGGGCTTATCCTGAGGCGCAGCCTTCGTCCTGACCAGGGGACAGGAAGGGAAGGGAGGRACGGGTTCCAGGTTACCTCAGCCATGCTGCCGGTGGGTGAGGCGGTGGCTCGGTGTCAGGGTCGGTGCTGGTGCCGGGGCGATGGCGGTGCCCGGGTGGTGCCGGTGCCCGTAGCGGGGCGGCGGCGGTGGCGGCCCGGGCCCGCGGCGGTGCTGAGCCCGCAGCTCGCAGCCAACGCCGCTGCGGTATCGTAGCAACGGCGGGGCTGCGGGCGGGGCCGCGCTGGGCCCGGGGCCGCCTGAGCCCGGGACCGCCTGAGCCCGGTTCCCCCTGAGCCCGGGACCGCCCTGAGCCCGGGACCCCCTGAGCCAGGGGAGGTGACTTCTCCTCTCAAAGCTGTCTGTCAATCTCGCGGTTGAGGTTTGGCTGCCGGGGATTTTAACCAAGGACACCAAGGACTGTTTTCCCTCTCACCCGCAAGGCTCAGAGCGGCTCCCTGAGCASAGCAGCTCAGCGCGGCCGGCAGGGTGGCCCAGCTCAGTCCCGGATTTGTTAAAGGTGGACCGAGCTCTGGGGATCATCCAGTGCAACCCCCCAGCTGAGGCARGGTCACCTAGAGCAGGTGACAAAGGAACGCAGCCTGTTGGGATTTGAATGTCTTCAGGGTGGGAGACTCCACGACCTCCCTGGACAGACTGTTCCAGTGCTCTGCCATCCTCTATGGAAAGGATTGCTCCAAACTGCTGCTGCTCATGTTGAGGTGGAACTTCTTTTGATTGAGTTTATAGCCATTATTTCTCACCCTGTCACTAGGCACCACTAAAAAGAGCCTGGCACCATGCCCTTGGCAYCTGCCTTTGAGATATTTATATACATTGATGARTTYCYCTCTGTCTTCTCCAGACTGAACAGRCCCAGCTCCCACAGTACCCCACCATACAGGACATGTTCCAGACCCCTCATCATCTTTGTGACCTCCACTGGACCCTTTCCAGTAGCTCCTTTTTATTCTTGTGCTGAGTCCACTTGAGGCAGGGTCCTGTGGAAGGCAATAAATGGGGATTTGTGCAGTTTGGGGGGAAAAATCATAGAACCAGAGAATGGTTTGGGTTGGAAGGGACTTTAAAGATCATCTCATTCCAACCCCATTGCCATGGGCAGGGAYACCTTCCACTAGACCAGTTGATTAGAGCTCCATCCACCTGGGTATCAAACACTTCCAGGGATAGGGCATCCTCAGATTGGCATCCACAGACAACCTGTGCCTGTTCCTCACCACCCTCACTGTAAAGAATTTCTTCCTAACATCTAATCTAAACCTGCCTTCCTTTAGCTTAAGGTCATTTCCCCTTGTTCTGTCACTACATCCTGAATGGCATTTGGAGCCTGGTTGCTGCCATGCCATTGCACCCAAAARTTCACAGTAGCCTGTCCATGCAGGTGGATGGTTTGGCATAACCCATGGTACAGGGCAAGGGGTGGCAGAGCAGCAGCTCTGCTTCAGAGCTGTGCTCAAAGATCAACTGCTTTGTTCTCTCCACTCCCAGCTAACCCTTGAAATGGTGGGGTTTATCTCTCTAAGCACACAAATTGTTCCATCTGATGGCTTTTTAGAGCAGGGTATGTATTGTACCATGTATACACTCCCTAGCAGCATGGATGTTGGTTATGACCTTAAAGTASCACTTGAAACAAATAATGATGATGGAAAACTTTTTCTCTTGCTGGTTTAATGAAGCCTGAATTGTAGCACTTCATTTTACTGATTATGTGGCAAAATAGGCAGTTTCAAATGGATGCTTTCAAATAGTCTGATTTTACCATCAGAACTGGAGAATAAKACACATTTTATAATGTATTCTTTTTATGTGTGACTTAATTTACAAAATATCCTATACACTGAAACATTCAATCATTTCAATGCACACTTCTAATAAAAAAATGAATAAAGTTCCTTTTCTAAGTTTTGCACTCCGCTTTTTCCTCATTTTCTTTTGTACTGATGTTTCTTACATAATAAAATTATCAGGAAGATGAWTATGATAAATTCCTTGATTCTAGGATTTCAGTTCTCAAGAGAACCAAACTTCTAGACCTTTACAATAAAACAACTGCACATATAATGAAATATCAAATTGCATGGTTTTAATTTTCTGAGCAAAATACTGTTGGAGGAAGGGGACATGCTCAGAATTTTAAAAGATAATATTAGGTGATGAACAAAAAAAACCCCTCCAATTCACATCTCAAATATATAAATTTATGTCTTTAAAAACAAAACAGGCATGGAAACTCATGAAGGAAGGAAGTCATCTTTGTGCTTCAGGTTCATGTTTGTGCATGAAGGTAACAGCATAAATGCGTCCAAAAATTATATGCATTTATTAAGACATTCCCAAGAGCTTCCTGGTCTGGATGGAAAAGTCCCCATTTAGTGTACAGGGTTGGACTAGAAGGCCTTTAAATGMCCCTCCCAACCCAAACCATTCTATGATTCTCCTCTTCTGTTTTTCAAACTCCTGGTGATCTGCGTCCTGTGACACCTTGTAGACTGGTCTTCATGACAAGTTCCATTTGAGTTAAATTCACTCATATTCTGCAAGTTCATCCTCGTGGTAGCTGCACCTCTAACAGCAGTGCAGACATAGTGGGGTGAGGGTTAGGAGTCCATGATAACTCATGCAAAAGCTTATTTTTTTATAAGCCTTAAARCATCACAACTCATAGCACATAATTGCAACTAGGACACAAATCTGTGACAAGAATCAAATATTCACATTTAATTAATTCTGCAACAAATTATAGTAACAAGAGAATGACTCAACAGGAGTTTATAAACAGGAGCTGCACTGACACTCAAGAGGACACCTGGGTTTCTGACCTTAGCAAGGATTTACTCTAGCTCAGGACCAGCCACTTAAAATTCTGTGCTTGAGACTTATCAGTGAAGTGTAAATAACCACATTTGGGATCCTGCAGTGGTGCTGTGACTGTCATGGCTATAGATGATGTACTCATGTCATAGAGAGAATCTCTGGAAAAGGTGGAGCTCTTCAAGTGGGATCACTTTTTAACCCTCCTTTTTAAGCTAAGCATGTATTCCCAGTTCTGCAAAAATTCTTCTCCTAGTAAGAGCCAAGAACCCCAACAGCCACCAAAGAAAAAAATAAATAAAAAGACCTTAAATAAAAACAAATAAATCTTCATTAATAGCAAGGACAAGCCAGACCTAGSAAATTTCAGTGCATTGAAAAGATTGTTATTTATTTCCCTGAATGTCTGACTTTGTTCAAGAGACACATGCACTTTATGGTAAAAAAAGCAGCATCACTGTCTCACCAGCTGCATAAAAGAGAGTTTTGCATCAGTGGCATGACTTGGTGTGTATGCAGGAAGGGTTACTAGAGAAGAAATGTTTGCTCACTGATTTATTTGAGGTCACAACCCTTGTGCAGTTAATTTAAGGCACGTTTTAAACTGCAGTGGCATGAAAATGATAAGCCATTACTTCCTGAATGTAAGGATTTATGGGCTACTGCAGTGATATAAATAACAAAGTAAAATCTCATCATAAGATGACCCAGGAGTATGTAAGCCATTTGGGGCAGGGACCATGACAGTACGTGTCWTCTGGGAAGTGGAAAAGGAACCTTGTGGCCCTCTGGCAGGTAAGGACAGGATGAAGTGATGAAGGAAAGCGCGGAGGTTGAAGAGATTCCTCCCAGTCCCGCTGCTGTCGGGAGGCGGCAGCACCGCACCACGGCCGYGTCTGCGAACTGACCCGCACCGCGCTGCCCACACCGAGCCAGGAGCGGGTTACAAACATCCCCTGATACACCGGCATGTGATGGTGGGGTCAGCATCTGCTGTGCCTGAGGCTCTGCGTTTGAATTCGGGTTTGGAAATGGGAGTAAATGCTCCATTTACTCAGATAACATCATCAGTGAGAGAAAACCACTAAAGTAAAATTTATCTACCCATTTGCTAATATTAAATTATTGTTTGATATATATTATAAATATGTTAGRTAAGTATTACTTAATCTAACTGCARATCTTGTRATTTCCCCAGCGGTWYGGAAATGCAGCAGAGCCTCATGGCCTCAGAGAGGCTGCAGGCACTGTCATGGGCTGACATCCTGGGACGTACCCTGGGAGCCAGACTGCCTTCTCGGAGTTACATCAATCTTGCAGTGTTAAAATGAACAAGAGCTTACTGAAAATGCTCCTTTTTCTCCAGTGACAAGGAAATGCTGTATGGTTCTCAATTACTTAATTATCTAACCGATATTTTTACTATACTCTGTTTTAATGTCCTCYCTGCCTGTTATTTTCAAACTTAATGATAGTTTTATTACTAAAACAATTGTTCAGTTTAAATTGGATTGAGACTTTCTACTTTGTTCATAAAGATGATGCAACAGATCTCAAATAACAGTAACCTTTGATCATGTTTGGCACTAGAGTCAAGCCAATGATCTTAAAAGAGGAAACATTACCAAGAAGTTCAATTATGGCAATGTTTCAATTAATAGAAACACCCAACTAAAGAGCTTGGTTATTTCTGAGAAGCTAAAGCTGACAAGTGGTCTGTGTATAATGTACAATTACATGCTCTACATAAAAAATAAAATAGATGAGCGTTGTGGAAAGTAAGTAAAATTAATTCAATAATCCTGAAACTAAGTTGAACTTGCTATTCCCCAGTACAGTTTGAAACTGCAGAACTAATTTTGCATCCCAGTTTTTCTTCCAGTTCTGCAGCTGGGATTATTATGGCCTGCCATGATTGTTAGAAAATTCCTCTCTTCTACCCTTCTTCAAGCCAAACAGAGGGATTCTCCAAGACTGCTGGAAGGARGCAATGCTCTGCAGATCCCCATCTACATCAGTGCCCTCTGTGGGSTCTTACTATTACCATCACATGTTATGGTTTATGCTACGAATCCAGCCTTCAGCTTTAGAGAGTGACATGGAGGGCACTTTTCTTCCTTTATATGTGAAGGAATGATCTGATAGAAGTAACCCCTCCCATCCTGGTTGCTTAGCATCATCACTGGAGAGGCTCTGAAGGAAAGCCTACAAGGTAAKATAAATACATGTGGCCCTGTAGAGCTCTCAGGTTTCTTTGATCAATGATTCATATTACCAGCTTACCAGTTCTGACCCATGTCTGTCTTCCAAATAAGGAACATTTGGGTCTATTTTAAAATGAGTTTCAAAKAYRTATAAAGTCATCATGTACTCATTAGCCTTCCAGCAGCCTTTCGGTTCCAGCAGCAGAATCCAGGCCCTAATATCATACTCCTGTTCCACTCACATTTTATTCTTCAGCTCAGCAAGGCCTGACAAGTGGAAGATTATCACTTCTGCTTTCTCTGTGTTAAGTGTTAATGTAATCCCTCTGTGTACTCCACACTGGCAGTTGTCTCCTATATTCTTCTATTTTTTTATTTACCGTTTCTAATAGTTTAAGGAACTGTTGATGGTTTTGTAATGAATTAGAAATACTAGTAGAAAGAATAAGGCCTCAATCTTCTAACATGTCTGAAAGCAGCTGAGAAAGGTACCTAAAATTTGACTCCCAAATCTTGTTTTTTTCCTGCAGCTGCTGATGGGATGTTACAATCCATCTTAGAAATAATATTATATATCTAATTCCTGCTGCAGTAGTAGCCACATCACAAAGCCACAGCTGAAGTCCCAGCATGTGAAGAACTACAGTACTGTTAACTCCACTGCTTGCAGYTTCAGGTCCTGCCCAGCATGTGAGTAAGGTTAGCGAAGCTTGGCTCATTATTGAATAAATTGCTACCTTTAGCAAGATAATGATCTCAAGCCTTCTGCAGTGAAGCAATACTCAARCGATGAATTATGTCCTAGAGTTGTCAGGATACATGCTTCTAGCATTCCCTCTTTCAGGCTGCTGAACTTTATCAAAAAAACCTTAACACAAATCAAACAAATGTGCCTTGGTTTCAGTTTTCCATTTACACGTATTGTATTGCTATCATCATTTTATACCATCTTAGGGGGCACAGGAAGTAGATCCTGGATCTAGGATGGTGGGTATGTAATATAAAATCTATCGAGATGTCAACCTTCCTGTGAAAAATGTTCAGGTCTTTTCCCTGTATCCCAGAGAAATTTTGCAGATGCATGTAAATTATAGTCAGTGTAACCTATAGTGATTTGTTTTATCCAGTGTGTATATCCATCTATATACACATTCAGAATCAGTAATTACTACCTTTTTGGRCTTTATGTGGGTGATATTAAATAGGCATTTTCCTTTGGCTTAGGTGATGAATAGGGGTGATCCTGGCAAAGGAGCTGTTTTCTTTCCTCCTGCTGCTGTGAAGTTCCCAGGGGAAATAAACACTGCACCAGACAGGCTGGGTCCTGCAGCACAGAAGCAGGGAGATTCCAGTACTGCTCTTGCAAGAGATATTTCCATAGATTTGGGCTTATAAGGAAGGAATGTACTAATAACACCCAGGTTGCTAATAAAACTGAATAAACTTGATTCAGACACTAAGGAAATAATGYTTGTATACACAAATTTAAAAACAAACCCTTTGAATAGCACTAAGACTGTTACTTAAGTCAATAAGCACTTCAGGAAATAAAAAGAACAGGATGACTTAACAGTCCCGGTTATCACATGAGCTAGCCAGCTTCATAATAAATCTGTGCCACCATATTTGCCCTCTTGATAACACAAATTCTCAGTGCAACATAAAACACAGATTGTGTCCCAMTGCCACACATGTCCACCATCTGAGTTTAAAAAAAAAAATCAAAGCAGAAGTGGTGGAGAACATGCAACATGCCAGAGCAGTAGTAATATAAACCAGTTGTTGCARTGCTGTGGAAAGAGGAGGGGTACAATTTAGTTCTCCTAAATCGGAYAGATGCTACTATGCTCGTGTCCTTAAGCTTCCTGTGAAAGGGAAAGTTGTTGGGAAAACTTATTTCTGTAAGAAATACAAGAAGATGGCCTATAACTCTAGAATGAGGGTAGTGTTGGAAAACACTTTTTCAAATCCTTTACTGTGGCCTTGATCATTAGCTTACACTTGTTGTGCCTCAGTTCCCTCATCCTTACAAGGACCAAGCCTGTCAGAGTTCAAAAAGCATTTGGGCAACACTSTCMGGTACATGGTGGGGTTGTCCTGTGCAGGGCCAGGAGCTGRCCCCGTSGGTYCCTTCCAACTCAGGATATGCTATGATTCTAAAGAAACAAGAAGCACTTCTGCGCCTCGGAAGGATGTTAGGCAGTTCCACAACTTCTTACTTGTGCTAGCTTTGAGCACGAAAATGGTTCGCACCTCCGATATCTGCTGCTTTGCTTTGATAAGAGCTGCCCGCGAGGTTACGTGTTTCAGCCGCTTTCCTGACTCTCAGGCGCGACCACCAGGAGGTCAGAATACATCCGAGAAGCAAGATGAGCGCATTTCCTCTCCGTCCGCCGTGTCCTTGGTACACCACGATCTGGGAAGCGAATGGGGGAGCCGAGGGGGCCAGCAGACAGCACGCTGCCGCCCGCCGGGGCACGGCTCGGCTCCTAGGGCTGGCGGGGGTGGTTTGAAGGAGGAGGGGAACAACGAACCAGAGAGCAGCGGCAGCCCGGGCGGGGCGGGCTCCTGCCCCTCGCCGCACGGAGCCGCCGCCGCCCCGACAGCGCCGGTGAGCGCGGAGCGCCCGGGAGCGGGGCCGCCCGACCCGGCCCGGCCCGGCCCAGCCCCGGTGAGTGTGTCCGCGGGCTGGGGCCGCGGGGACTCGCTGTGCGTCCGGGGGTGCGGGGCAGCGGGAAGGGCCGTGCCCGCGATCGGGACGGAGCGGCGGTGCCGGGCTGCCCGCGGCGGGTCGCGCTGGGGTGGCTGTCCTCGAGTTCTCTTTTGCGGGGTAACTTTTGTGTTGTGCGAGTGTTCCGTCTCCGTGGGTACCGGTCACCGACGGGATCGGGCCCCCGAGTCGGGGTGCTGCGCCCGCCAAAGTTGCTGCAGAGCTTTGGGCATCGCTGTCCCTGCAGCCCGGGCGGGAGCCGAACGCGCGGGGCGCCGGGAGCGGCGGGAGAGCGGCCGCAGCCCCTCGGGGACTCGGCGGGACCGAGYGTGTGAACAGAGAGCCCTCGGCCATCGCCCTTTGCTGCTGACACAGCCCGTCATGTCCCAGGGCTGACCTCGGACATGTACAGTCCATGCAAAATCCATCATTGAGCTTTGCTGCATGCTCAGCGTTACATGTCCTTGTCTTTCTTCTGAGATACACAACATCTCACAAAAGAGYGCAGGGAGAAAGAGTAAAGTTTTCAATGGAGCTGAAGGAGGGATATTTTCAGTAGAGCTGCTCTTGCTGTGTGTGGGCATGTTTTTGAAGGTGGCCAGCAGGTATTCGTAGTTAAAACAAGAGTGAGCCAAGACTGGCGTACTGGAAGTCAATAGTCTGTGAAACTGATGTGTAGAACACAAGCCTTAGTGGCCTTTGCATCTTCAGCTTGGCAATCTCCCACTRAAGCAGTTTTCTTGGGTACTGCCATGCTAAAATCCTTCAGGAAAATAGGTCGTGTTGCTATTGGCATCTCTTACGTGGTCAGGCAAGATGAGCAGTGTTTCTAAGCCAACATTACTATTAATGTGTTTTTAATGAGTGCTGTAGGCCTCACCCGTGGCCAGCGCATCTCCTTCAGGCACCAAGTGTTTGCCATGAGCTGCCAGGCAAGGACCTGAGCTGCCATGAAAGCAGCACTTGGACAGGAGAGCCGCTGTAGTGCAGCATATCATGCTGTGTGAGGTTTTTTAGTTTGGTTTGGTGATGATGGTAATGGACTTCTGCAGCTCTGATTAAAGTGATTTTGGCTACCTTCACAGGCATCTGCTTTTAAAATCATATTTTTCCTTAATAGAAATGAAAGGGATTCTGTCAGTCCTCAAAGAAAAGTAGAGCATAGAAGTTAAGAATAGAAACTTAAAGCCTTCTCATCAGCCTTGTTTTCAGCACAGTAGGAGCCTCATGCTGCTCTCATGTGGGAACTGTGTGTATTAAGTGTATTAAGTGCCACAGATGTGGAGAGAGGTGAATTGATTTTCCAAAATCAGAGAACCAGTGTGAGTGCTGGGACCAGCACCGAGGGTTTCATGGCTCCCAGCTGCAGATGATTGGTTTTTTTGCTTGCATGATTTGGGTGTACCAGACTCAGGGATCTGTGTTTGCGCCAGTGTCATCTGCAAAGAAGGAGTGACCTGTGCACACCAAGTGCATTGAACTTGTTTATCAAGAGCTCAGGTGGTGGCCCCTCCCCACCTAACCGTCTTCCTTTCTTTTGTTGCTTGATGCATTACTGGATATTAAGAAGACATATCTTCTTCTTTTTTTTTTTTATTTTTATACTATCTTCACCTTCTTAAATCAGACTAAGTATCCCTGCTCAGGGACTGAGGAATTTGGTTTTCCTAAGTGTTTTAGGCCATCTGATGACTAGGACAACCAAAAGCTTCATGTCCTTCTTGCCTGTTGTGTTTTTGTTGGTGCTRTCCATGGCAATAAGGGCTCTTGTGTGTCTCTGCATGATGTCTCAGAGGGATGCCAATGCTTGTGATTCTTGCATGGCAGTGACTAACACGGGAAAGGAATTTGATCCACAGAAACCTAACACTGGTGTTTCACAAGCAGATCTCATTAATTTATGAGGGTTTTTGTTTTTTTTTTTTTAAGAAAAACTGTGTGGTTTTCCAAAGCACAGTTTTAGTCTGGCTTTTGTAAATATCTACCTGCTGACCGTGGTTTCAGTATCTTGGAGCTTGCTTGCAAATGAATTAGCACATGTATATGAAGTCTGTGAAGGGCCTGCATGAGTCTATGTGCTGTCCTGTGCTGTTGCATCCTGCTCRCTCTGCTCCGTGGAATTGCAATTGCAGTCCATGGCAATGGTGCAATGGAAAAGGAAGCTGAAAAAAGCTTCTGGCTTGTTCCTTTAGATACCCTTTAAAACAGACTGTTGGGTGGGCCAGCTTTTTCTCTCCCAAGTGTTATTACAATCCATTTATACTGGGGAAAAAGCAGGTTTGCTGCCAGGCAGCATATTTTCCATCAGCACTTGTAATTGTTGGGTGGCGGAGAGAGGTAGAGACTCTGGTTTCCAGGCTGGAGAGAGATGTGGCCAGGGTGTGCACTGGATAGCACTGTCATGTGCCCAACCATGAATTCCAGGTTTTGCAGGGATGTGGGCTCAGCTGTGTAAGCAAAACCTTCTGCCCGCTCACTCCTCGGAGTGGGCAGGGAGGCAGGTAGCCAAGCTTCAAACAGCTTGAGGGATGGAGAGCTGGCCTGGGGTGCAGCTGCAGCAGGGCTCTGTTTTTAGCTTGTTTATACTTCCACACACACGTGGGACATGTAAAGCTGGCTGAGCCAATCTTGACCAGCAGCAAAACAAAYGGGTTTTACTGCCATGATCTGAAGGCCAGATCAGCTGCTGAGCTTCACTGGAGCGGGGACAGCTTTCATTTTTGTCATGGAGAGGAGACTCATRTAGGGCTGACTCAGAGCAAGCATTGTGTTGGGTTGCTCAGACTTCCCTCGTGGAAGCAGTGTTAAGGTGTATGTATGACAAAGTGGTGATTTGAGGTAGCCAGCATGGCTTCACTGTGGGCAAATCAYATCTGACCAGTCTGATGGCCTTCTGTGGTGGAATGACTGCAGTGTTTGGCAAGGGAAGACAAACTGATGTCATTTACTTAGACTTCTGTAAGACCTTTGATGTGATTCCATATGATATCCTTATCTCCAGATTGGGGAGAAATGCACTGGAAGGGTTGWCTGTTTAGTGGATAAAGATTTGGCTGGATTGACACATCCAGAGAGTTGTGGTCATTGGCTCTCTGTCCAGGTGAGGCCCAGCGGTGTTCCTGAGGGCTCTGTCTTGAGACTGGTGCTCTTTAATATCTTTATCAGTGGCATTGTGATATTGAGTGCACCCTCAGCAAGTTTGCAGATGACACACWGCTGAGCAGTGCTGTTGGCACAACAGAGGAAAGGGATGGCATCCAGGGAGATCTGAACAAGCTTGAGGGATGGGCCCACAAGAGTCTTGTTCTGTTTTAAACTAAAGGAGGAGAGATTTAGATGTTAGGAAAAAATTCTTTACTCAAAGGGTGGTGATGCACTGGCACAGGCTCCCAGCAAAGCTGGGGATGTCCTGTCCCTGAAAGTGCTGGATGGGACTTTGAGCARCATGGTCCAGTATGGGTGGCATCTCTTCTTATGGCAGGGGGGGTGGAACTTGATGCTGTCTAAGGTCTCTTTAAACCCAAACCGTGCTGTGACTCTGGCTGACTCAAAAGGAGTGAGAGGAGGTCTGTGCTGCCGTGTGAGGATGCAGCACAGGCACWCCAGCTGCTGAGAGGGATCTGCTTGTAAGTGACCTTAGACCATCCCACAGGGTTCAATCAAGGTCTGTCCAACATCTCTATGCATAGTTGAGGGAAACCCTAGCTTAAACACTCTTTTGAGATTTTAAAATTATCTAACAAATGAGTTGTTAAGTCCCATAGCAAGTTATGTCCTGCACAGCAGTTAGTAGCTCCTTTCCTCAAGCAGAAGCACTTGTTTTATGTCACTGGCCCTGAGTCACCATGAGACCAGACATTACACGCCCTGAGGGGGTACAAACATCCTCTGGGATACTACAATGCAGATCCAGACCTYTGGGGTTTGGGGTGTCTTTCTCCAGAGTTCAGCAGTCTGTGCTGGTGCTGCTGGTGTTGTGGCACTGATTGAGCAGAGCACCAGCAGCCCTGCAAGGCACGAGGGCAGGGCAGAGCCCATTTACCCGATTTGGCCTCACAGTGGCAGACAGAAACAGAAGTGAAAATGTACACACAGTCTGGTCAAAGGAGGCATGTGGGAGGAGAGAGCTGAAGTGAAGGAGTTCAAGACAGCAAGGAGGTTCCAACCTAATGCTGAGCCCTTAAAATACCCCACTCTAAAGCCCAGCTCAGCCCACACTGATTATGAGTTCATTAGGCTTTGGGTGAAAATAGTGGTAAGGTTTGAAGCAGTGGTTGGTGGAAAAGAGGGTGGTGGATTCCTCCTCCCCAGCCCATTTGTGTGCAGCTGGGTGATGTCTCTCTTGTCTGCCTGCAACMAGCTTGTCAGGTCATCTCCTCCTTCTGCTTGGGGGACTTTGTTTCCTGTTGCATATAACATTTCTTCACTTCTCTATCCTAAATATTGTCGTTTATCTTCTGCGGTTCTGTGTTTCACATCTTCCTGTTCTCTTAGACTTGTTTCCTGCCTCYTCTGTGTTTTCTGTTTCTCCCATTAGCTCTCTAAACCTAACTCCCCGAGCAAGTATTTCTACCTTACAACTAYTTAGAGCAGCTAGGTGCCTTTTCTAGACAAACCAATCCCAGACAAAACTGYCCCAGCCCTTTTACTTGTGCAGCTGCTCATTTGACCCTAATCCATTTTAAAAGGAGAGTGCTGGTGGGTGAGGATGGAGTCAGGGAAGGGAGGTCCTTCCTTGCCAATATGTCTGCAAGGCTGAGATGCCCAGTGTGATCTACACACTTTCCCATGGGAGAAGCAGCGTTTTAACTCTTCACTGATCACTTCAAACTGATTATTTCTGGTCTCTTGAGCTTTTAGGATCGTTTCATTAGGTAAGGAGTTAATCTCTCTTTTAATCAATCCTTAATTTAGATAACTGCATTATATACCCATCTTCTGCCTGCATTTCCTCATTCATTCTCTTCGTGTTTTGCAGACTTCCTGGCTGTGCTTCAGTGGCGGGTGACTGAATTTAGTCTTCTCTGCATCACAGTGATAGTAGTAATGTGAAGTTTAATGAGCACCTGCAAAGCTGCGTAGCAGGTAAGTGCTCCAGGGGTCATTCTTCCTTTCAGATTTGATGTGATTTAAAAAAGCATCTTAATGGGCTTTCACTAGGAGATCTTGAGCCTTGCAGCAGAAATGGTGAAAGGAAATTGGTGTGGCTCATATTTTAGAAATGTTCCCAGCAGCGAGGTTCAGACAGCTTCTTGCAAAGTGAAAGTAGCAATGTTGGGAAGGTTTAATTTGGAAATGTTTTCAGTGTTAAAAGCCTCTCTCTTTTGGACTTCCAGTATAAAATTGCTTTTATCTGACTGCTTGTCACAGTTGGGATCTAGTCAGAGAGTGATGGCAGAAGGGAACCAAAGGGTCCAAAGCTTTGCTGACTCCAGCTACTGCTGCATTTTTTGCTGTGCAGGAAAACTTGCCAGAAGTACCTTATCCACACTGGGAAAGTACTGGAATTCCCTTCTTCTAGGTGTTAGAGGGAGAGCAAAGGCCTGGAAGTGCCTGGGAAACTTCCAGATTATCAAGGGTGACAGCAGAGACAGACGAATTGAAGGGAAATAGTGGTTTCACAAGCCAGCAATGTATAGAGCTCTCCTGTTCGTATGAAAACCCCTAAAAACAYACTGAAAGGAGAAGTGCTGGGTAAAACCAAGATGTCTGGCAGTGCTGCTCTACGAGTGTGTGACAGGAGGCTCTATGGGTAGCCGTGGTGGGAAGGCAAGAACTGGAGTTGATGACAGAGGGAGCTGCCAGAGCAGCCATCCTGGCTGCCACAATGTTCTGTTACAGCTCTGAGTACCTGTTAGTTCATGCACTCCCCGTGATTTTTTTTTTTTCCTTTCACTTATTTATTCTGGATCTGTGCTGGGTGGTGTCTGTCCCCTTTTTCCCATCACAGAGTTCAAACAGCTGCTCTGCTCTAGCAAAGCTCAGCTCAGAGTTCCCTGGCATGCTCCTCCAGCCAGCCCCGATCAAAGCTGTGAGAGCTGGCCCATTGCCATTCTCCTGTGTGTAAATGAAGCTCTTTCTCTTTTTCCTTTCCATTCACCATCTTTCATTATTATCCCTCCTCCAGAGGCAGGTTTTTCTGGCTGATCTACCACACTATTTGTATCAGCAGTATTTGCTTAAAGGCAGGGATGCTTTTTCAACATTCATAGGGAAAACATCTGATGCATCCCACTGCCATGTATGTGGCTCAGAAAAACCAAGCATGGTGTTGGCAAGGATGAGTACCATTGCAGCCAACAGTTGGAAAATTTAAGCCCTGCTAGGCACAGTCTCCAACTCATAGGGTTATTCTGGTTGCCTGGTGAAGGAAAACTTACTGTTCCTTCACTTTTGAAACCAGGGGAAGAGCACGTAGAGAAGGTTCTTGTGCCTGAGCAGAAGGGACATGAGTTAWAAGGTGTCAGCTGAGCCACCTGTGTAACCAACTCATCTTTCCCTGGGTTGCCTCCAGGGATGGTGGGTGCCCTCAATYGAAAAGGTAGAGTTTGTGGCCAAACACAAATGAAAACAAAGTAAATTGGCTTGAGAGTGCCTTGCTTTCAGCTCTTCCAAATTGCAGAAGGTTTGGTGATGAGTGGTGAGCTCCTGATGAGGAGTGGGAGCAAATGGTTCCCACGCTGTCTGCAAGGAGGTRAAGTAGCTCCCTAAGACAAGATACCACCTGCCTGTGCCAGGATCCCAGCAGGGATCCAAAAGGCTTGTTTTGGAGAAAGCACATGCAGTGATAAGGAGATTTTCCTGCAGGTAGGGGCAGCTAAGCAGTAGTCTAGACTGCTTTGGGAGGCAGAGATTTGCTGGAGGTTTTCCAGAACAAAGTAAACAGACTTGCCAGAAATCATCCAGGCACAGCGTAAGCCATGCGTGTAGGCAAAGGGAAGAAACTGTATTGCTTTTTCAGACCTCTTTTTTCCCTGTTTTTTTAAGCTGTTGTAGCGTGTTAACGCATACCGGTGGTGGAGCTAAGGAGATGTTCTCAAGTGACACCCTTGATATTCACACTATGGTGCTTCCCAGAGGGGCTTGATTTTCTGTATCTGCATCCAGAATGCTTAGATCCTCATCCAATTCCTCCTGGATGTTCAGCTACCTTRCTGCCACAGGTTTTAGAGGAGAGTTTGATTTCTAAAGGCCCCTGGGGATTCAGCAACCAAATACCTTGGGACTGTTGGAAATGTGAGGGAAAATTCTTGAAGTTTCAGCAGCACAGACACCTCTGCACTGCAGATTGGAACTCATTCATGGTAATTAAAGTGAGCCTTATATTCCAGTTTTGTAGGGGCAAGGATGGAAGGGATGTCTTTATTTTGGGTAGCTGGAATCCAATAGCTAACCCTCCCCTCCTGTGATACAACGACATACATGACCTGGCACAGCAGGTGACTTAAGGACAGAGCTCTAGTGAGGTCCCACCTAGTGAGCTGGCTATGCTGTCTCATGGCCACACTCTTCTTCAGCCAAAGATGGTCTGAAGGTGCTTAAATGGTATTTATCCCACCTTCCTGTTGACTCACAGCTGCATCGTGCTCTTGGAATAGGTGCAGGGTTATGGTCTCACACTCTGAGGGAGTTACAGGAAGAAATGTCRGCTGAAAGGGATGTGTTTGTGTGCTAAATCATCCACAACATGTGCCCTCAGCTCAGCACTGTATTTGCTGCTAGTCCTGGACACCTTTGGATTCYCTATGTGGGACTTTGGGCTTTTCCCCTCTCTAAGCTCCCTGCCTGCTGTAGCAGAGGGGTTTTTGTGCCTGTGAGGGCCCCACAGCCGTGAGTCACAGTTCCCATGATGTAACTGAGCCTTTAAGTGCCGAGGGGCTGTCCCTTGGCTTTCAAACAAAGCCTTCCTTTGTTGTGCTTACGGCATAAAGCATAAAGCAAGCAACCGTATRTGCTCACCCCACACATCCCAAATGAAAACCACGTGGCCTCACAACCTTCATGTGTGTGTTTGATACTCCTGCTGCAGTGCTGCAAGTTACATCACTCCTTTCTCCTTGAGTCTTCTCAGGGTTTTTCTTCCCAGCATTCAGTTTACAAATTCTTCAGGGAAACAAAGAGCTTAAAGATGTTTCCTTTTCTTGGTGAGGAGAGAGGACTGAGCAGAAAGCACATGAAAATTATTAAATATGGGTGAATGTTGCAATGGGGCTGTCTCTGAGTCATTCCCTTGGGTGAAAATGGCTCTGAGTTGGTGGCCACGGGTGCTGAAAGGATGAGCTTCGTGGAAATATTGTACGGAAGTGGGGCAGCTTGTTTTCTTGTATGACTTTGCTTTCTTCTGCTGTTTTTTATTTATTCGAACTCATTTTGTAGAGCGGGGTTAGCCAGAAGTACTCTGCAGCCAACATTTTTGTGTGCATGCGTCTGTCTTGGCAGTTTTTAGGTTTATGGCAAGTGAGCCAARACTGGGATTTCTGCTTCCCAAACATTTGTGTTGTTTCTCCTGATCTTTTCTGGAGTCAGAGGTAATGAAGTWAGAGGGTTTGATTCTTCCTCAGGGGCTGCATGCAATGCAAAGTGTCTCTGCTTAGGTCAGGGAGTCGTCCTGCTGAGAGTCAAGGAAATGGGGCAATGCAGTAAAAGTTCTTGTTCTCTCTTCCTTCCACACCCTTTACCCATCACTGCAGGGGCTTTCACAGTCTGTTGGGTTGTGTTTTGTTTCTTAATTTATTTAAAGACCCATATTGTATT